CCTCCTCCTCCTCCTCCTCCTCCTCCTCCTCCTCCTCCGCCTCCTCATGCTCCTGCTCGTTCTCTTCCTCCTCGTCTTCCTCCTCCTCGTTGTGAACCTCCTTGTCGTCGTCCTCCTACTCCTCGTCTTCCTCCTGCTCCTCCTCCTTCTCTTTCTCGTCTTCCTCCTCCTACTCCTACTCCTCGCCCTCCTTTTCTTCGTCGTCTTCCTCCTCATCGTCGTCGTCTTCCTTCTCGTCGTCGTCGTCGTCGTCCCCCTCCTCCTCCTCCTCCTCCTCCTCCTCCTCCTCCTCCTCCTCCTCCTCCTCCTCCTCCTCCTCCTCCTCCTCCTCCTCCTCCTCGTCCTCCTCCTTCTCCTCCTCCTCCTGCTCCTGCTCCTCGTCCTGGTCCTCGTCGTCCTCCTTCTCCTCCCGTTGCTGCTCGATCGTGACGCGAATGCTCACTACTACCGTTCGTTGCTTGTGCTCGTGCTGGTGTGCGGGTGGGTGGGTGAGGTCCCGATTCACGAATCTGCTTTGTTGACCTGACGTAAGCGCGAGGGGAACGGATTAAACAGATATCTAAAAGTCACGCAGTTTTTGAGCGTAATTTCTCTTAAAAGGCAATGAGAGTGGCAAAACAAAACTTGTTTAGCCAAACACCGAGCGGCTTTGCAGAGTAGCAAAGAAGACTGGTGCGAAATACATACACCCTACAGTACGAATTTGCTGGTGCTACTACTGCTACTACGACGGGCTGGCGAGGGGTGGTACTAGGTGGCGCAATGAAGGTGATGCGAGCGGGTGCTTTGGCGGAAGTGTTGTGGTGAAGCTGGGTCAGTTCGGGGCGCGTTTCCTTGCAGCCTTGGTTGGTTAACCCTAATATGTTCTCTCGGTTGAGAACGGTGAAACTGTTCTTAACTGGTGTTTCCTACTGCTGCCGAATACTTTCTGTTGCTGCTCGATGGCGAGACGGATGGTCACTACTACCGTTCCTGCTTGTGCCCGTGCTGGTGTTTCCTACTGCCGTCAAATATTTTCTGTTGCTGCTCGATGGTGAGGCGGATGCTCACTACTACCGTTCGCTGCTTGTGCACGTGCTGGTGTTTCCTATTGCTGCCGAATATTTTCTGTTGCTGCTCGATGGTGAGACGGATGCTCAATAGTACCGTTCGCGCTAGTCCTCATGCTGGTGTTTCCTACTGCTGCCGAATATTTTCTGTTGCTGCTCGATGGTGAGACGGATGCTCAATACTACCGTTCGCGCTAGTCCTCGTGCTGGTGTTTCCTACTGCTGCCGAATATTTTCCTGTTGCTGCTCGATGGTGAGGCCAATGCCCACTACTACCTTTCGCTGCTTGTGCTCGTGCTGGTCATTCCTACTGCTGCCGAATATTTTTTGTTGCTGCTTGATGGTGAGGCGCATGCTCACTACTACCATTCGCTGCTTTGTGCTTGTGCTGGTGTTTCCTACTGTTGCTGAGCACTTTCTGTTGCTGCTCGATGGTGAAGCGGATGCTCACTACTACCGTTTGCTGCTTGTGCTCATGCTGGTGTTTCCTACTGCTGCTGAGCATATTCTGTTGCCGCTCGATGGTGATGCAGATGCTCACAACTACCGTTTGCTGCTTGTGCTTGTGTTTCCTACTGCTGCTGTTGGTGTCACCACTCACGGGCGCTCGGCATCACTAATGACTGCTCACAAAGGCCCAACACCTCTCACTGCTGCTCTGAACCGCACTGCAGCACTCGGCACCGCTCAGGGCCGCTCATCACCACTCGACACCTCTCTGAGCCACTCATCACCACTCACGGGCACTCACCACCACCAATGACCGCACACAAAGGCCCAACACCTCTCACTGCCGTTCTGAACCGCGCTGCAGAACTCGGCACTGCTCAGATCCGCTCATCACCACTCGGCACCTCTTTGAGCGGCTCGTCACTGTCCTTCACCGCTCATCACCACTCACAAGTGCTCAACACCACCAATCACTGCACACAACAACCCAGCACCGCTCACTGCCGCTCTGTACCGCTCTGCAGCACTCGGCACCGCTCGGAGCCGCTCATCACCACCCGACACCTCTCTGAGCTACTCATCACCACTCGTCACCACCCAAGAGCGTTCAGCACCATCAACGACCGCATCGGACGTATCAGCACCGCTCACTACCACTCTAAACCTCTCGGCAACACTCGGCACCGCTCAAAGCCACCCCAACGCATTGACGTTGAAGTAGATAGTTTACAGGCATTAAGAGTACGAGCACTAGCAATCATGCTTGCATTACATCAAGAGAAGTATGAATTAGGCATGAAAGCAGGAAATAAAAATAACGTACCAATATTACACATATTTGATTGTGATTTATGCTTACGCAACTTGTAATGCCATTATGTGTGTCATGTGTTTATCTTCTCGCATGTTTATTGAACAATTCACATTTGAAACGCAATCATAGTTGATGCTAGTTGGTTAGCAACAGCAATATATACACTTTGCAAATCAAGATTCGTCCGAACCGCGCTGTAAATTGGAACCTCACTGTTATAGTATCATTCTTGACCTGTTCCACCGCGACGTGTGCGCTGGAGCAGGCTCTGAAACCCCATTGGGGGCTGTCTTTGAGTTTCTTGACCTGTTCCACCGCGACCTGTTGCGGACCAGGCTTAGAAACCCCATTGGGGGCTGTTTTTTGGGTTGAGGAGGTGGGTGTTCAGGTCCGAGTTGGAACCCTTCCATTCAACAGTAAAATCGAAACGACTTCACTGTAGTAGTAGGAGTGGTCTGATTTTTCCATTTTAGTTACGAGATGCTTCTACTTTTATTTCTACTGCCCGAAATGTTACACAACATTGTGTGGGAGGGGTTGGCTAGCTACCCGTCTATCCATCCCGCTGCTGCCTCAGCCCAAACCAAATCAGGTCTACTCGAACCTTATTCCCTCGTACCGACTATTCAGCTAGAATTACAGTCACAGCCACCTAATCCGCTGCTGTGTCATTCGCTAAGGTCCCAGTCGCGTGTTTGTTCGTGCGCCTCGCGGTCGTTAGATAGTCGTCGTCCTGCTCGCCTCGCGCTGCACCCTGCGCAGCGCTCTCCTTTAGCCGTCCCGCGCTTTTTCTCATTTGCGAATATCGCGTTTGATGTCAGTTTAGTTTGCAGCATGCTATGTCATGTCACACGGGTCGCTGCGCAGAGCGAACGCGCGTGCGCGCGAGGTGGCTCGGTCGGACCTCACCGTCGAACGGTCGCGACACGAGTGGTGCTGATGTTCTTTTTTATTTGTTTTCTCTTTGACAGCGACGCGACACGAGTGGTGCTGATCTGGTGAAGGAAAAGCACTCACCTACCTCTCCCACCAGCACGCGAGTCCTTCAACTCTCCCATTGTTACCTCCTCCTTGACTCCTCTTTCTCTCGACTGCTCTTCTTCTCCCAGCGTCCCTCTCACTGGATGGTCTCACTAGTAGTAGCATTCTCTTAATGCTCTTAGTAGCATTCTCTTAGTTTTCTTTTTATTTGTTCTCCTAGTCATAGATCGTTCAGCAGCAGGGGGGATGGCGCGCGCCACAGCAGGGGGAATGGCGCGCGCAGCAGCAGGCGAATTGGCGCGCGCAGCAGATGGCGGAATGTCGCGCCGCGGCAGCAGATGGCCGATGTCGCGCCGCGGAAGCAGCTGACGGAATGGTGGGCGCAGCAGCTTAGGCCCCTGTGAGAGTTAATCCGCGTTCCAGCAGAAGCTCCTGTTTTTTAGTTGCGTTTTATAGTTATATTAACGTGAGATTATATTTCTAGCTAAAGTTTCCCTCTTCCCCGGCCCTTCCTCTCCTCTCCATTTTCTGCCTCGTGCCTTTTTTCGCCGTTTCTCGCTCAACACTCTCACCAGGCGCCTGCTTCACTGCCTCCTTTTGTATTCAGGTTTGCGTCAAATTGTTCAATTATTTTTGTAAATATGTTCTTCTTTCTTTGTTTTATCTCTGACAGCGACGCGACACGAGTTGTGCACTGATCTGACGGCAAATGTTCCTATGACGAAGGAAACGCACTCACCTACCTCTCCCACCAGCACGCGAGCATCACCAGGCGGCGGATCGCGCGCCATGAGAGGCTCGGCACTGCCTGGTGAGAGGCTCGGCACTGCCTGGTGAGAGGCTCGGCACTGCCTGGTGAGAGGCTCGGCACTGCCTGGTGAGAGGCTCGGCACTGCCTGGTGAGAGGCTCGGCACTGCCTGGTGAGAGGCGCGGCCAAGTGCCTTTCCGCGCTGCAGGCGCGGCGACTTGCCCTTTTCCGCGCTGCAGGCGCGGCGAAGTGCCCTTTCCGCACTGCAGGCTTGGCAAGTTGTTTTTTTTTTCCGCGCCCCAGGCACGGCTTAGTGCCCTTTCCGCGCTGCAGGCTTGGCAAGTTGTTTTTTTTCCGCGCCCCAGGCACGGCCAAGTGCCCTTTCCGCGCTGCAGGCTTGGCAAGTTGTTTTTTTTTCCGCGCCCCAGGCACGGCTTAGTGCCCTTTCCGCGCTGAATCCCGCCCTTTCCTGCCTTTTCCCGCCGTTTCCCGCTCTTTCCCATGGTTGGTTTCCCAAGGTTTTCCTTCCCGCGGTTTCCCACCGAATTTTGGGGTAGAGATTGCCGGGCAGGTGAGAGTTTGAAGCAGGGGTGGCCGCGCAGGTGAGAGCTTGAAGAAGAGGTGGGCGGGCAGGTAAGAGTTTTTTCAAGCAGAGGTGGCTGGGCAAGTGAGTGAGACGACTGAAAGATGAGCTGCTGCAGCTGCCAAAGGGTAGCATGCGTGCGTGGTCGTGTGAATGTACATACACAAGTGTACTCGTTCCACGTGTGCGTATTCATGTGAATCTGCTTGTTCATTTGCCCCCGCAGGTACAGGAGTAGACAGCGCGGATGGAGCAGACTGAAGCGGATCTAAAGTGGGTACAGTACAGGAGCAGTACTCGCGGATGGCGGGAGAGAACCGAGCGCTGCCGTTTCCCGCCGCGGTCAACCTAATCCCCTCCCCTTCCCGCGCCTCCACTCCGTCATGCTAGGGAACTTGGATAAGGGTGAGAAGATTGCTTCCTCGTTCCGCCCTTTCTCCTCGTTCCGCCCTTTCTCCTCGTTTCGCCCTTTCTCCTCGTTCCGCCCTTTCTCCTCGTTCCGCCCTTTCTCCTCGTTCCGCCCTTTCTCCTCGTCCCGCCCTTTCTCCTCGTTCCGCCCTTTCTCCTCGTTCCGCCCTTTCTCCTCGTTCCGTCCTTTCTCCACGTTCCGCCCTTTCTCCTCGTTCCGCCCTTTCTCCTCGTTCCGCCCTTTCTCCACGTTCCGCCCTTTCTCCTCGTTCCGCCCTTTCTCCTCGTTCCGCCCTTTCTCCTCGTTCCGCCCTTTCTCCTCGTTCCGCCCTTTCTCCTCGTTCCGCCCTTTCTCCTCGTTCCGCCCTTTCTCCTCGTTCCGCCCTTTCTCCTCGTTCCGCCCTTTCTCCTCATTCCGCCCTTTCTCCTCGTTCCGCCCTTTCTCCTCATTCCGCCCTTTCTCCTCGTTGCGCCCTTTCTCCTCGTTGCGCCCTTTCTCCTCATTCCGCCCTTCCTCCCCATCCCCCACTGTTCACCCCACGGTTTCCCCATCCCTTACTATTCACCCTCCGCTCCCCACGCGCACCATCCCCCACTTATCCCTTGTATTCACCTCCCCCCACTGCTCCCCTCTATTCACCTTCCCGCACCTCTGCACTCGTCGTTCCCTCCCTTGCTCTGCACTCGTCGTTCCCTCCCTTGCTCTGCACTCGTCGTTCCCTCCCTTGCTCTGCACTCGTCGTTCCCTCCCTTGCTCTGCACTCGTCGTTCCCTCCCTTGCTCTGCACTCGTCGTTCCCTCCCTTGCTCTGCACTCGTCGTTCCCTCCCTTGCTCTGCACTCGTCGTTCCCTCCCTTGCTCTGCACTCCTCACAACACATGCGTGCCATCCCGCCAGTCCCTCACTCACACCACACTTGCCATCCCGCCAACCCCTATGCTAAAACCTCTCCTCTCCTCTGTTCACCTCCTCTCCTCCCCTCTGTTCAACTCCTCTCCTCCCCTCTCTTCACCTCCTCTCCTCCCCTCTCTTCACCTCCTCTCCTCCCGTGGTCTGTTCAACTCCTCTCCTCCCCTCTGTTCACCTCCTATCCTCCCCTCTGTTCACCTCCTCTCCTCCCCTCTGTTCACCTCCTATCCTCCCCTCTGTTCACCGCCTCTCTGTTCCTCTGTTCACCTCCTCTCCTCCCCTCTGTTCACCTCCTCTCCTCCCCTCTGTTCACCTCCTCTCCTCCCCTCTGTTCACCTCCTCTCCTCCCCTCTGTTCACCTCCTCTCCTCCCCTCTGTTCACCTCCTCTCCTCCCCTCTGTTCACCTCCTCTCCTCCCCTCTGTTCACCTCCTCTCCTCCCCTCTGTTCACCTCCTCTCCTCCCCACCACTTGCCACCTCTGCCACAATTTCAGAACCCGCCACACGCCATCCCCTCGCACCGGCCATCCCGCCATCCGTCCCTCCTCCCCACCCCACCCCACCGCACCCCACCTGTGCAGGTGGCATTCTCTCGTGCGGGGCGCCTTTTTTGAAGACATAATGAAGAAATAGGATTCTAAATTAGTACAGTTAAGGGTTTGAAAAGTGCGTGTGCTTGTTCTTGTTCACTATATGAGCCGGGATGGCCCTGTCGTGGCCAGGTCGGGTCGGTGTGGGCTTGGCCCAGGGATGGGATGGGGAGCATGGAGACAACTAGAGACAGAGACACACAGAGAGAGACACAAGGCCACACCTGTGATCAGCGACTGAGAAACAGAGGCAGAAACGCAGGACAAACAGAAACAGAAGAAGAGTGACAGGGGTTAACAGAAGCACAGAAACAGAAACAGAAGCAGTGAGAGGGGAGAACAGAAACTACTGAAACAAACGGAGACAGATTGCAAGATACAGAAACAGAAGCACAGAGACGGGGATGACTGTTCCAGCCGCCCAGTTACTGCTACGGCCACCTTGTTACTGTTACTGCCGCCCGGCTACTGTTCCTGCTGTCTCGTTACTGTTCCAGCCGCCTTCTGACAACAGGAACAGGACCTGGAACAGGACCGGGACCAGGACCAGGACCAGGACCAGGACCAGGACCAGGACCAGGACCAGGACCAGGACCAGGACCAGGACCAGGACCAGGACCAGGACCAGGACCAGGGCCAGGACCAGGACCAGGACCAGGACCAGGACCAGGACCAGGCCTTGGGGGGGCCTTGGGGGGGCCGTGGGGGGGTTTCTCCTCGCCTCTCGTTAGTATCACTCCTCGTTGGTCATTGGCCTCAACAGCAGCAGCAGTGCAAGCAGCAATAGGGGGAAGGGCCAGCTAAGGGTGGAAGTTGAATTGGAAGGCGAGGAAGCTGCTAACGCGTACGAGGAGGAACACGGACGCGTTGTAAAGGGGATCGTTACAAGCACGGGGAATGGCAACGGGAAGGCCGCAGGGGGTAGGGTTTTAGCGGGGGAGGAGGATGAGCGGAGCAGAGGGGTGGATATGGTTGCGCGGGTGGTGAGGGGAGTGAAAGCGGCGGTGGTTCGATGGATGTTACCAGAGGGTTATCCCGATAGTGTGACTCCTGACTATATGGAGTATACAGTGTGGCGCATGCGGCAAACAGTGGCGAGCGAAATGAACCACGTGCTTACAACGCAGGTGAGAGGCGTTTCTATGTCGCAGGCTCCTTCAATTGAGGTCTGTTTGCTATGTCTAAGAACCTTCATCTCCCCTGCCCTCCTCTCTCCGTCCTTTTCCTCACCTGAAGCCCTTCCTTCTCTCTCTTCTCTCAAACGGTCCTTCGTGGTAAAGGACGGGCTGGGCTATGCAGCCGAGGTCACGCCCTCCCAGTTCAACATGTTGCATCCCTTCCCCCTCGAACGGTCCTTGCATTAATCACGGTGGGTGTTACAAGGAAGGTGCAAACACAAGTAAGACAAACAACCAGACCACAGTTCTACCTATCACACCTACTCCTTCCCACTCCCGGCCCCCTCTGTCCGACCCTACTGGCCGAATGGGGGCTCAATCAGCTGGTGCAGCTGTTGCTGCCGCCGCCCAGGCACTGTTTCTGCCGCCGCCCAGGCACTGTTGCTGCCGCCCAGGCACTATTGCTGCCGCCCAGGCACTATTGCTGCCGCCCAGCACACTGTTGCTGCCGCCTGCTCGCCGCCCGGTTACTGTTGCATCCACCCGGTTACTGTTGCTGCTGGCCGGTTACTGTTGCTGCTGCCTTTTTCCTGTAGGGATAGGGGGGGGGGACCATGCCCATGCCAGGGATAGGGGGGACCATGCCCATGCCAGGGATAGGGGGGACCATGCCCATGCCAGGGATAGGGGGGACCATGCCCATGCCAGGGATTTTGGGGGGCGGGGTGGGGGGCTGTGAGGAGGATTGGGGGGTAGGGGGGCCTTGGGGGGGGTCATGGGGGGGTTTCATCTCCCCTCTCGCTATTGTCACTCTCTTTATTGTCCACGCTCTGCGTTATAGTACCCCTTGTTTGCTCTTCGGTATTATAATTTCTCTTCCTCTTCCTCCTCTCTTGTACCGCACCGAGGTGAGATTCAACGCCGTCTCGGGAGCCAATGGGGCCAGTAGGGGGGATATGCTCCCTCCTTGGACTTCCTTACCTTCTATAATCCTGGCTGGGGTTGTATGGGTTCAAATTGCAGAAAGCCTTAAAAAAAGGCCTAACATTTATATCGGTGCTTTTATAGGCGTGTGCTGGGAATGGAAGTAAGCGGCTCTTATGGTTTTCAGGTTCACGAGTCACATGTCTTAACTCGTCAGCCTTTCATCCCCCTTCTTAACCAACCCTACCACCCCGAGTGTTGGTATGCGCAGAGGCTCAGCCGCACAGGGTATTGTGAGCATTGAGCAAGACATTAGGATGGCATGGCATGAGGAGTCGCCATCGCCCCACACATGGGCACGATAGGCCCGGTGCTGTGCTCCTCTCATTACGCTCCCCGTGTTCTCCCTTCCACTCCACCCTGCCTTCCTCTCCCACAGGTGCTAGCACGTGCAGAGGCACAGGGCATGGTGAGCAAGACATTGGGCATGGCCCTGGGTATCGCCATTGCTCCTCACGTGGGCACGAGGGGTCCTCTACTCTGGGCAACACACGCCCTGCTGTCCGAACCCAACCATTTGTGTGTTTTCTCTGACTGTTCCTCCTCTTCCTCTCCCCTCAGGTGCTAGCACGCGCAGAGGCACAGGGCATGGTGAGCAAGACATTGGGCATGGCCCTGGGTATCGCCATTGCTCCTCACGTGGGCACGAGGGGTCCTCTACTCTGGGCAACACACGCCCTGCTGTCCGAACCCAACCATTTGTGTGTTTTCTCTGACTGTTCCTCCTCTTCCTCTCCCCTCAGGTGCTAGCACGCGCAGAGGCACAGGGCATGGTGAGCAAGACATTGGGGATGGCACTAGGCATCGTCGTTGCTCCTCACGTGGGCACCCGGGGCCCTCTACTGTGGGCAACTCATGGCCTGCTGTCCGCCGCCCACCTGTTTTGCAACTACCGCTCGTACAAGGCCGTTCAACTCAGGACGCTCAACCCCTTCAGAGCAGGTAAAATAAGTACTTGCTTGCAGGAAGCCTCACAAGCATTCAATTCAGTGGATTCAGAAGCAGATAGTTACTTCCAGAGCAGCTATTGTCATGTCATGTCTTTGAGCTGTAACCACAATTGTTTTTTAGGCGCCTCAAAAATCATCTCAAAAAGTTTGAGGCGCCCCAAAAACATTCGCCAGAGCAGCGACCGTCGTGTCTTTGAGCTGTAAGGCACGACGGTCGCTGTAAGCACAACTCAATTAGTTCCCTCCTTCACCTGTTTCTGTCTAAGTAGCTTGCTCCGCTGCGCTGTCCTCTCTGCTTCCCCTGTGCTCTCTTCTACCACTGTTCTTTCCCCAGATATTGTCCTGGCAGAGTACGTGACCAATGGCAGGGTGCCAGGTGTCATCGAAGTCAACTCCCAGGAACCCATTCTGCCGCCCCTCAAATCGATATTTTCGCCCAAGGTATCTCTGGTGTGGTGCATGTGTGATGTATGTGTGGTGCATGTATGTATGGTGCATGTGCATTGCATGTGCGTTACAAGTGCCACTTAGCTGCAGTGCCTCACTCACACAGAGAGATCTCATCCCTCCTTCTCCCCTTTCTCTCTTCACAGGCGTCCCCTCCACCTCTCCCCGGCACAGGTAGCAAGAACTGGATTGAGTTCGGAGTGCCCTTGGCAAGTAGGCAGCAGTGGCTCACACAGACAGACGTCTCAACACTCCCTTACTCCCATTCCACCCGAACCCCCTCCCCTCCTCCCCTTTCCAGGCCTCTCCCCCTCCTCGTCCAGGCACAGGCAGTGAGAACTGGATCGAGTTCGGAGTGCCCTTGGCAGCAGTGGCGCAAAAAGAGACCTCTCAACCCCCTCATTCCCCCCTCTCCACCCGTTCCCCTCCCCCGCCCCTTCTCCGCGTCCCCTTTCCCAGGCGTCTCCTCCACCCCTTCCCGGCACAGGGAGTGAGAACTGGATCGAATTTGGGGTGCCCTTGGCCGCAGTGGCGCACACAGAGCGGGAGGCTGAGACCATGGCTGATATATTCCGAGGAGAGAAGTACCTGCTTGGGCGGGACGAGCGTACGGGGCAGATGCAGGTGCGTGTGCTGCTGCGCATGCTTGTGTTTTGAGATGGGAGTGAGGCACACACAGGTGTGCTGTGCTGTGATGTGCAGTGGGAGGAGGCAGAGGCGGTGGCTGGGATGGGATATGCCGAGGAGAGAAGTACCTCCTTTGACAGGACGAGCGTACAGGGCAGATGCAGGTTCATGCTGTGTGCATCTGTGTGCGTGGGTGGGTGGGAGAACGGGAATGTGTGGGGGCCTGCAGGTTGTGTTGAAAGAGGGATCTGTCTAGGGACCTCCTCCGGGCGGCCTTACAAATCCGGCCACCTCCGCATGTGTGCCTCCTCGTCTCAATCCCGTCCCTTCCACCCCTGACACTCACCATGCAGGTTGTGTTAGGGGTGTCACGCCGCCGCACGGAGGAAGTCTCAAAAGAGATCCCTCTCTTGAAAGAGCACCATGCAAGTTGAGCTAGAAGAGGGATCTACTTCGGGAATTCCTCTGTGCGGCGCTCCAAGCAGACTACCTCTCCTCTTCCTCTCACATCCATTCCTTCTCCTCTTACCTCCATGCATTCTCACCCCTGTCACTCACCAGGCTGTGTTGAAAGAGGAGGCTCTACCTCGGGACTTCCTCCGAGCGGCCTTACAAGCCACCTACCTCTGCACGCTTGCCCCACTTTTTTTGAGGCGCCTCACTTTCTCTTAGTGCTGCTGCCCTTCCAACCATGAGTGACGACGGCCTTACAAGCCGCCTACCTCTGCACGCTCGCCCCACACCCCCTCTGCCCCACCATCCACTCTTTCTGCCCACTGCAAGCTGTCTGCATCTAGATTCTCACCTCTTGCTTTCCCACCCACCCCTATCTGTCACCCACCATCCAGGTTCTGTTGAAAGAAGGAGCTCTCCCTCGGGACTTCCTCCGGGCTGCCCTCCAATCCACCTGCCTGCCGCTAGATTGATCTCCTCGTTCCATCGCCATGCCTCCTCACCCCACGCACTCACCATCCAGGTTCTGTTGAAAGAAGGAGCTCTCCCTCGGGACTTCCTCCGGGCTGCCCTCCAATCCACCTGCCTGCCGCTAGATTGATCTCCTCGTTCCATCGCCATGCCTCCTCACCCCACGCACTCACCATGCAGGTTGTGTTGAAAGAAGGAGCTTTCCCTTGGGATTTCCTCCGGGCTGCCCTCCAATCCACCTGCCACTAAATAATCTCCTCGTTACACCGCCATTCCTCCTCACCCCACGCACTCACCATGCAGGTTGTGTTGAAAGAAGGAGCTCTTCCTTGGGATTTCTTCCGAGCGGCCCTGCAAGGCGCCTACCTCCGCACTCTCTCTCCACACCTCTTGCCTTCTCACCCCTATCAACCACTCACCATTCTTCTTGCAGGTAGTGTTGAAGGAGGGGGCCCTCCCAAAGGACTTCCTCCGAGCGGCCCTACTAGCCGCCTACCTCCGCACGCTCTCTCCACACGTCCTCTGCCCCACCATCCACTCTTTCTACCCACCATCCATGCAGGTAGTGTTGAAGGAAGGAGCAGTCCCTCGGGACTTCCTCAGAGCGGCCCTGCAAGCCGCCTACCTCCGCACTCTATCTCCACACGTCCTCTGCCCCACCATTCATTCCCTCGCCCCCCAAGCGCGCACCCACGTCCAAGCCCGCGCCGCCGAGTTTTCCTCCTTGGGGAAGCAGATCAAGGTGCTGCATGCTCTCCTCTTCCCCTCACATCTATTCCTTCTCCTCTCATCCCCATGCCTTCTCACCCCTGCAACCACCATCCATGCAGGTAGTGTTGAAGGAGGGGGCACTCCCAAGGGATTTCCTCAGAGCGGCCCTGCAAGCCGCCTACCTCCGCACCCTCTCTCCACACGTCCTCTGCCCCACCATCCACTCTCTCGCACCCCAAGCGCGCACCCACGTCCAAGCCCGCGCAGCCGAATTCGCTTCCTTGGGGAAGCTAGAGGTGCTGCATGCTTCGTATGACCGCATGGCTGCGGGGTTTGATGGGTTGTGTGAGGCGCTGAGAGCGAATGGGTGGCGCTGTGACGATGGCTTGTTGGCTCGGCCAGGAGACTGGCGACTGCTGCTGGCACCTGAGGAGAAGAGGAAATGAGGGGTGCAAGTGAAGCCGAATTCGCCTCTGCTGGATTCACTTGCACTGCCCCACCTGAAAATTGCACCCCCAGCTCCCAAAAATCCCTCACTTGTGCCTTTAAAGGCAGGGTGCAACTTCTTAGGAACATTAGGGGGACAAAAATGGCATGTGATTAACTTGAATTCTATTGGACGAAAAAGCTGAAAATCCACAAGAGGACAAACCTCTCGCCTCTGAACTGCCTCGGTCAACCATCTTCCAAGCTATAATACTTCGAAATGAGGGAGGCGATTGGTGGCTGCTGCTGGCACCTGAGGAGAAGAGGAAATGAGGGGTGCAAGTGCAACTGCAGCCGAGTTAGCCTCTTTCGAGAAGCTAGAGATGCTGCATGCTTCCTTTGGCCGCATGGCGGGAGGGTTTGATGGGTTGTGTGAGGCGCTGAGAGCGAACGGGTGGCGCTGTGACGATGGCTTGCTGGCGCGGCCGGGAGACTGGCAACTGCTGCTGGAATCAGCGAATAAGAGGAAGTGAGGGAGGGATGGGAGGGCGCATGCCTCATGAGCGCATGGCAAGGAGGGGCGGAGGGGGGGGGGGGGGGAGAGGTTTGACGGGCTGTGTGAGGTGGTGAGGGCGAGTGGGTGGCGCCGCGATGATGAACCATTGACTGGGAAACTAGAGGTGGCGCATGTGCTACATGACCAATGGATACATTTTGAGTCAGCTCAAAGCACAGCGGTTCACACCCTCGGATGGACTAGAGGTTCTTTCTGCATGCATTGTATGATCATATGTGAGATGTGTTGATACTGTATTTGCATTTGGATTACTAGCAGCGACTAACCAAAGTAATCAGCACTCAGCTAGTTCGATTATGTAGATTGGAAATTGGAAACTGAAGATAAAGAAGCAGCGCCTCGGAGCATGACAGTCGGAGAACCCAAGTCTGAGTGAAGCGATTGGAGCAACAAAGCAGGAACCTTCTATGTCCGTTCTCCACCTCCAGAAGCAAGACACCGTTTCGTTGGTTGGTAGCACGTGGTCGCAGAGCAGATGCAGCAGATGTGGAAGGTGGAGTGGTTGGTGGAGCGGGGGAGAGGGGGAGGGAAGGGGGGGGAGGCTGAGGTGAGTAGCGGTGGGGGAGGGGAGCGGCCGGGGGAGGGGCGACTAGGGGAGGGGCGACTAGGGGAGGGGCGACTAGGGGAGGGGCGACTAGGGGAGGGGCGACTAGGGGAGGGGCGACTAGGGGAGGGGCGACTAGGGGAGGGGCGACTAGGGGAGGGGCGACTAGGGGAGGGGCGACTAGGGGAGGGGCGACTAGGGGAGGGGCGACTAGGGGAGGGGCGACTAGGGGAGGGGCGACTAGGGGAGGGGCGACTAGGGGAGGAGAGACCAGGGGAGGAGCGGCAGGGAGGAGCAACCTGGGTGGGAGGGGGACGTGCGGCCGAGGGTGGTACGGCCGGGGGAGGGAGGAACTAGTGCAGGCCTGGGATGGGGATGGCAGCGACTCGTGAGTCGACTCTTCAGTCACCTTGGTGCACATGTGGAACGCATGCAAGGTGCGACAACAGGGACGGCAGATACAGCAGATGCAGAAGGTGGGGCAGGCAGTGCAGGTGGTTCAGGAATGAACTGGTTGCGGTTGGGGAGGGAGATGGCAGCGTCGATGTTGTCAGGCAGGCCTCTGTGGCGGCCCAGCAGCATTACCAGCACGAGAACCAGCTTGGACCAAGGGCTCCACACACCTGCAAGGTGGGGAGAAAATGGGTACGGGGAAAGGAGAGAGGGAAACATGACCTATTACTGACGTGCAACCAGAAGAAAAAACATCCAGCAGCATCACGAGCACGAGCACCAGCTTGGACCAAGGGCTCCACACGCCTGTGGGGAGCAAAAGGGGTACGTGGAAAGGAGAGAGAAACATGACTTTGTTCCGAGTCATCTGAGAGAAAAACTCCGAGCGGCATCATGAGCACGAGCACCAGCTTCGACCAAGGGCCCCACACGCCTGTGGGTAGAAATCAGAGGGATTCGAGGGAAGAAGAGAGAGAGGCATAATATGGTTTTCAGGAGCCTATTGAAAATATCGCCAGGACCTCCTAGTTCCAGGAATTTCCCCCGCGCCTGCGGGGTGCTTTTGAGGATTCTAAAATACGAACCACCTTGGACCAGGAATTCCAGAGAAGGCACTTTGGGAAATTCTACGATATGACGCACCCGAGAAGGCACTTGGGGAATTTATATGATAGGACGCACCAGAGAAGCTGTAAGGAGGGGAGACACAGCTGGGGCCAGCTTCAGGTGGACAGGTGTAGCCCAGGGAGAGACCCACATTGCCGTATCCACTGCCAGGAAAGAACACGTGCAAGGATGGGTATGTTGAGAGATGTTCAGACAGAGTCACCAGAAAGCAGCTGTGGCCAGGCGAAGCACATTACTAAGGCATGTCAAAATTAGAAGAGGTTAAATTTGCCAAATCCACTATGGAGACGCCTCTCAAGCGAAGCACCTGAGAAGACGGGTTTTGAGGCACCGACAAAAAAATAACACACACACACCCACGCACGCACGCACGCACGCACGCACACACACGCACACGCGCACACACACACACACACACACACACACACACACACACACACACACACACACACACACACACACCCACCTGCTCAAAGATGTTGAAGTTGGAGATGTCGTTGGTGATGTTGTCGCTCTCTATAAGGCAGATCACCAGCAGAGCCATTAAGAGCGATCGAGGGCCTAAGCTGTCCCTTGATGAAGGTTTGAACAAGCATGTGGGGACTGGGCGCACTCACTCACCTGATGAGCTCAAAGGCGATGTTAAAGATGTTGAAGTTGGAGATGTCGTTGGTGATGTTGGCGCTCTCTATGAGGCAGATCACCAGCAGAGCCATGAAGAGCATCGCTGAATCGCGCAGGAGCAGCCCTCTGCCCTGGGTGAACACCCCGTGGTCCAACACCCCCCCCTGCATGGATTGTCGAGGGAAGGCACATGGGCAGGTGATGTATAAGGCCAGCTGAATCACTATCTGTTTACATAACTTCTGATCCAGCAGCACACCCCCCTGAATGACTTGCGTCACGCCGTGTGATGTGCCATGTTACAAAATGACAAGCGAGGAGGGATGAGAGTGGCATGGATGGTGGGCGGTGAAGGATGGAAAAGCCCAGTTGTTTCTCAAGAGTGAAAACACACACACACACACACACACACCCACCCACACACACACACACACACCCACACACACACACACACACACACGCAGACACAGACACAGACACAAACACAGACACATACACACACACACATACACACACACACACACACACACACACACACACACACACACACACACACACACACACACACACACACACAACAGACTTTAATGACCATCTCGACTCAAAAGCCACTCAAGAACTTGAATGCAGGTCTTCCCAGAACATCCCAATGTCCTCGTCATCGTACACCTCCCTTTGCTCCCTCGACGTCTTAAGCGCCAATTTTTAAATTTTTAGCAGTGGCAGTTTCCCGAGCGAAGGATCTGACTGCTGTTGCATCAGAGGGATGTAATGTGAACTCACCTGCAGATCTTGCCAGAACACCCCAATGTCCTCGTCGTCATACACCTCTCTCTGCTCCCTTGACTTTTGGGTCAACTCAAAAGCCACTCAAGAACTTGCCTGCAGGTCTTCCCAGAACACCCCAATGTCCTCATCGTCTTACACCTCCCTCTGCTCCCTTGACGTCTGCCTCGTCCCCTACACCCCTCCCCATCCCCCACACCCCTCCCCATCCCACAAGTTCTCACTCATTCGCAGGGACTTGGAACAGAACCTGCCTGCAGGTCTTCCCAGAACACCCCAATATCCTCGTCATCATACACCTCCCTCTGCTCCCTCGATGTCTGCCTCGTCAGGTACAGAGGATACACAGCCACGTACCTGCTCACGTTCGAGAGAGCAGCAGGGAATGGAATGGAAGGGTGGGTGGTTGTGGGGATGGAAAGGAGGGCGGTTGTGAGATTGGATTGGAATGGAATGAAATGGAATGGAATGGGGGCTGGGTGTTTTTTAGAATTTTCAGAAACTCCATGTGAAGCCAGAGTTGGTAATGATATTTTTTTGTGCAAAGGATTCATGGCCACACACCTGAGCAGAGTTTGGAAGGGAGGCTGGGATATGTAAGGGAGGGTGATGTCCCATGCACTCTCACACCATGCCCCTTGCACTCTCACACCATGCCCCTTGCACTCTCACACCATGCCCCTTGCACTCTCACACCATGCCCCTTGCACTCTCACACCATGCCCCTTGCACTCTCACACCATGCCCCTTGCACTCTCACACCATGCCCCTTGCACTCTCACACCATGCCCCTTGCACTCTCACACCATGCCCCTTGCACTCTCACACCATGCACTCACATCATGCCCAGGTATAGCAGCAGCATGGGGGGGCGCAGGAGGCCGATGGCAATTACGTTGAATCCCGCGTTGCGTGTGCTCACAGATTGGAAATATCCTGCCAGTACCTTGGTCCCGCCTGCCATGCGCACACACACAAACACAAAGGGTAGAGAGGGAGAAGAGTGGAGAAACTGTGTTTGAGGTGCCTCAAAAAGCATTGCGTGTGCTCACAGATTGGAAATATCCAGCCAATATCCACCTGGCATGCACTCACACACAACCATGAGGTGGGGGGAATGTGGAGTAACATTGTGTGTGGGGTTTTGTTTTGTTTTTTGTTTTTTTTTTTGGGCAGACAAAGCCCCCACCAAAAGGAAGAAGTGCTCTCTTCCTAGACACATCCTCAGGAAATACGTACGTAATCCTTGTTTGTTGGTCTTTAGGTGACTTTTGAGTCGACGCAAAAGTTCCCTCAGGAAGACAAATCCTCTGGGAATATATACGTAATCCTTGTTTGTTGGTCTTTTTCGCATACCCGCAGTCCACCTGCAACTCACTGGTGAAGCCGTCAATGGCAGGCGAGGTCCAGTCAGTGGCACAGAAGAAGACAAACTCCGTGAGATTGAACGCGAGCACTGTTAGCACGAGCATCACGGTGGAGCGCGGTGGGAAGAGGTGCGTGTAGCACTTGCGTGGGTGCACGAGAAGGTAGGAGTAGACGAACTGAGGGGCACGGGGTGAGGGGGGCGAAAATCACTTGTCAGTATAAGAAGAACCCAGTTTTATGAGTCTGCTTTTGAAGCACCTCAAGAGAGGTGCGTGTAGCACTTGCGCGGGCGCAAAAGAAGGTACGAGTAGACAAACTGCCGGCCAGGGCAAAGGGTGAGAGAGGGTTGCAGACACTTCTCAATGTAAGAAACGCCGACTGCAATGAGTCTGCTTTTGAGTCACCTCAGAAGAGGTGCTAATGGCATTTGTGCGCCTGTAAGATGAGATGCGGTAGGTAGGTGTGGACAAACTGAAGGGGTCAACAATGTAGGTGTGGGGGTAGCAGATATATTTTTCAAAATAGGAACCCTGCGATGTAAGAGACTGTTTTCACATGACCTCAACAGGGGTGCACGCAGTGTGTGTGCAAATGCAGGAGAGTGTGAGTAGATGTTCTGAGGGATCACACTGCAGGATGGATGTTGTTTTTTAGAATTGATGTGCAGCCTCGAAAACAACCTGCAGGATGGTACAGTAGAAAAAAGGATTGCCAAGTGTGCGTGCAGTGCAACACAGGGAGGGAGGGAGCCAGGAACAAGAAGAGAGGTGACTGGAGAGCGGTGGGGGACCTAGTGCGAAAACGGCAACCATGTGAAGGGAAAGACGGGTAAGGGTGCAGTCATTAGCCATCTACGAGACCGGTGTGGTGCGGTGCAGAAGTTCCCTCTTAGAGTGATCAAATTCAAGAGGGTGCAGTGCGGTGCAGACCTTACCCTTTTCTCTCCTCGTGAGAAGTGCCGGAGCAGAAGCAGGAGGGCTCGCAGCGTGGGCGGGTACATGGTATTGCCAATGAGAATGAAGACCGACGTGACGATGATCAGAGCTGGCACCCTCACGAACCCCATTAGATTATCGTTCAGCAGTGCCGCCCCTGTGTTGGAAAACGTCGACATAGCCTGTGCGGGAAGGAGGAGGGAAGCATGGGGGCCGAGGGGTCTATTTTTGAGGCGCCCAAAATTAGGTTATCGTTCAGCAGTTCTGCCCCTGTGTTGGAAAACGTTGAAATCGCCTGTGTGGGGGGGAGGGAGGAAGCATGGGGGCCGAGGGAGGGACAAGTGAGGGTAGATGGAGGGGGGATGACATGAAAGTTGAGTGAGTGACATGGAAATCGGCTGCCTGGGATGGAAGGTGAATGACTGGGATGGAAGGCGCCTGACTGGCAAGAAGGGCAGCTGACTGGCAAGAAGGGCAGCTGACTGGCAAGAAGGGCAGCTGACTGGCAAGAAGGGCAGCTGACTGGCAAGAAGGGCAGCTGACTGGCAAGAAGGGCAGCTGACTGGCAAGAAGGGCAGCTGACTGGCAAGAAGGGCAGCTGACTGGCAAGAAGGGCAGCTGACTGGCAAGAAGGGCAGCTGACTGGCAAGAAGGGCAGCTGACTGATATGGAAGGCACAGAAGAAGACGCTGTTGACGCTGTTGGCCTGCAGATTTGCCTTGGCGGAGGCAGAGAGGCTAACGATGAGCAGCAGCAGGAGGAAGGCAGTGAGCAGCGATGCGGCGAGGAATGCTGGCACCAGCCAGCTTAACGTCTCCAGTGCCCTTGATAGGGATAGGGACGGTGGGATGGGGATGGGGATGGGGATGCATTTTGAGGCGCCTCAAAATACGCCTCAAAATATGATGCGGCGAGGAATGCTGGCACCAGCCAGCTTAACGTCTCCAGTGCCCTTGATAGGGATAGGGACGGTGGGATGGGGATGGGGATGGGGATGGGGATGGGGATGGGGATGCATTTTGAGGCGCCTCAAAATACGCCTCAAAATACGATGCGGCGAGGAATGCTGGCACCAGCCAGCTTAACGTCTCCAGTGCCCTTGATAGGGATAGGGACGGTGGGATGGGGATGGGGATGGGGATGGGGATGGGGATGGGGATGGGGATGGGGATGGGGATGGGGATGGGGATGGGGATGGGGATGGGGATGGGGATGGGGATTGGGATGGGGATGGGGATTGGGATTGGGATGGGGATTGGGATGGGGATGGGGATTGGGATGAGGATTGGGATGGGATAGGGATAGGGGGATGGGGATGGGGATGGGGATGGGGATGGGGATGGGGATGGGGATGGGGATGGGGATGGGGGTGGGGATGGGGATGGGGATGGGATAGGGTGGGATAGGGGGAAGGGGATGGGATGCGGATGGGGATGGGAATGGAGATGGGGATGGGGATGAGGATGGAAATGGGGATGGGGATGTGCAAGTGTATGTGCATGTGCATGTGCAAGTACATGTGAAGTACATGTGCAAGTACATGTGCATGCATGGGCAATGTGCAAGTGCAGGTTCCACATCGAAAGGGGGGCATTGCAGAGCAGATGGCACAGAGAGAGGGCACATAGCATGGAACGTGGCACATGGCACGTGGCAGAGATGGCACATGGCACATTGCAAATTGCACATGGCATGTCGCACATGGCACATGCAATGCACAAGAAAATCATTTCAAAAATGAGATTTTTCGAAAGAGGTCCATCAGAGAACAGCAGCAGGGCAGAACAGTGGTGCGGGAAAGTGAGCTATGAGGAGGGCCCACCTGAGCCACAAGGAGGGGAGGGAGGGCTCACCTGAGCCACAAGGACGGGAGAAAGGGCTCACCTGAGCTCGAGGAATCTGAGTTCACTTGGCTGTGCTGCCGTCAGCCATTCATCCACCATTGCATCCGCGTAACCATCAGCAAACCCGTAACCATCAGCATCAGCGAAATCCAGATCCCCCCCAAGGCTTGTGCCGGTCACACTGCTTTCACGGCTCAACCTCCCGCTCCTCCTCTGCCTTGCCCTGTGCTCCAGACCCCCCAGGAATGGCAAGAATGCGGGGGCGTGTGGTAGGGAGTGTGCTCTTAACGCGGATTGGTTGAGAGATGCAGCACGAGTTAGCCTTGAGGTGAACAGGTCAAGGGAGGAGCGCCTTGTAGCTGCCGCCTCCTGCTCCTCCTCCTGCGGCTGCTGCTGCTGCTGAGCTCTAAGCGCCTCAAGCGCCAATTGGAGGCGCTGCCCTTCAATCCTAGCCGTTTCCCCGGCCCAAGTCATCGAGCTCATCCCCACAGCCCCCTCTGCCTCCGCCCCTCTGCCTCCACCCCGCCGGCGCAACCCACCACGTGTCACCCATCCCTCCTCCACATCCGTCCCCCGTCTGGCGCCACGCCCTTCGCCCTCACCATCACCTGGAGTCAAGGGTTGCCGCCCTTCTCTTGCCTCCTCCAGGAGTTTCTCCAGGAGAGTTGTCAGGCCTAAGGGCCTTCGGCCCGTGGGAGCTGCTGATTCTTGAGGCGCCTCAAAAGTTGTCAGGCCTAAGGGCCTTCGGACCACAGGCGCTGCTGCTGCTATTGCTGCTGTTGTTGCACCTGCTGCTGCTGTTGCTGCATCTGCTGCATTTGCTGCTGTAGCTGTTCCTGCCGCTGCTGCTGCACCAGAAGCTGCAGCCACAGAGGCCACATGGGACTCGCCTGCTGGAGCGACAGTGCCTGCAGTGGCAGCAGGTATCTCATGGGAGGGGGCGGGCGAGGAAGAGACAAGAGGGGGAATGCAGGCAGATGAGGTACTTCCTCCTCCTCCGCTTAAGCTAGCAGCAGCAGCCGCAGCAGCAGCCGCAGCAGCAGCAGCAGCAGAAGGGTATGCAGTGGGGTCACTGGCGATAGGATATGCTGGGCCTGTTTCAACGTCAGCAAAACCATCTCCTCCCCCCTCTTCCCCCCCAGCATGCACTCTACTCCCCTGCAGCTGCCCCAGCACTCTCAACCCGCCTCCTCCACTGCCTCCCTGCCTTCCCTTGCTGCTGCCACTGTCACTGCTGCCCCTGCTACCCCTGCTGCCCTTGCCGCTGCTGCAGACGCTCTTGGGACTCGCAGCAGCTGGAGCTGCAGGGGGCAGACTTACAGACCAGGCTCCGTTGTTCCCTGATATGTTTTCTCCTCCTCCATCTCCTCCTTCTCCTCCTCCTCCTCCTCCTCCTCCTTCGCCCCCTGCACCATGCTGCGCTTCCTGAGAGGCGGAGGCTGCAGTGTCAGAGGCTTTGGGGCCGTAGTTGGAGGCGGAGGGCTGGGTCTGGAGCAGGCCAGAGCAGGCGAGATGGCGGTGGAAGTAGTACCGACGCACCAAGACAGGCACCAGGGACGTCACCACCTGGCAAGCCACAGAGAGAGAGAAAGAGATGGCAGTCAAGCTTTGAGACGTCCCCAAACTCGATTTATGGCAGGCTGGCGTGGGCGAGATGGCGGTGGAAGTAGTAACGGCGCACCAAGACCGGCACCAGGGACGTCACCACCTGGCACACACAGAGAGAGATGGGAGCCATTTTTTTAATCAATTTTTAGAATCGTAAGAAATGACTCCAATGTGGCGCAGCAGGACAGGCACCAGGGCTGTCAGCACCTGTCAGCATGGCATGGCGTGGCATGGCATGGCATGGCGTGTGGCATGGCGTGGCATGGCATGGCATGGCATGGCGTGTGGCATGGCGTGGCATGGCATGGCATGGCGTGTGGCATGGCGTGGGGCCTGATTGAGAGCATGTACCAATGAGGGTTTCATTCACCATGCGATTACTGGTTACCACCAAGTCATTGTTTCTTTCTAACCACGCACCTGGGAGCCCATGAACATGAGGAGAAGGCGAGCAACGTTGGTGCCGTCAGTAAAGACCCCCACATCAACAGCAATGAGTCCCGCCAGGCACACACACGACGTCACGTTGAAGAGCGCGTCTATGAAGCTGATTTTCCCTGCTGGCCCGCTCGGCGCCACGCAGAAGACGAGCGTGAAAGCGAGGATGACTATAACGAAGCACAGCATGTGCAGCCGGTAGAAGGTCACGCGCCGCTTGAGCCACGCGGGAAGAGCCACGCCGCGCATCAGCGGCGGTGGTGCGACGGCGCGCCAGGCTGAGATTGCCATGGAAACAGCAGCAGCAGCAGCAGCAACTACCACTAGTTGTAGCACTAGGAGCCTCAAAAACAGGAGCACGGGTACTGCTGGTAGTAGAACCGCTAGAGCGTCACAACGAACAGCAGCGAGATAATCAATAACTTGCTGGAACGACACGGAAACGTGAATGGTGGAGGCTCTGCCGTCCAGAGCAAACGTGCTCGCTCATTGATCCTCCTGGGTGTGTCATGCGAGGAGAGGAGACGTTTGAGTCGACTCAAAAGTCGCCTCATAAAAGAAGTACAAGCGTAGCGGCTGTGGGCAGGTCGTACGTTTACAGCTCATCATTCGTGGCTGAGCTTCACGGTTTTGCACTGTGACGCAACGAATTAGACCGCAAAGAACGTACACGAGACGTACGAATTACACCCCGTCATTGAGCCTCAGATTGGTGAGTTCTGGCGGGTGGAGAGGAGAGGAGGGAGAGAGCGCGGCGACTCCGAGACAGCGGAGACAGTGAGCAGAACGATACTGGAGAGGAGAGAGATGCTCTCGCGACAATCGATGGTTTGCGGGGACGCGGGCCGCGGCCGCGTGAACGACTCGTTTCGGCAAGGTCACGAACAAAAAAATCGCAACCTGTCTTGTGAGCATGACTCGTGTGATGAAGCAATTTTCGATGTGCCTGAAAAGGCGACGACATTTCGGCCATGTCCCGTGGTGTGATGTGGGTAGGAAACTTGAGGGGGTTCATAAGGGCGATCACGCCGCAAGTTCATATCGCCCGACGATCCCAAGAACACTGCGAAGCTGTTCGGGCGCACTCCCCTCTTGGCTGACGATTACCGTAGTGTAGGTATCTCCCCTCCTTACTACAATCACACGGTTCGGGACACCATTCTCGCCGTACATTAATATAGTCGCGTCTACAGAGTGTTACTTAGGCGAATATGTTGTACACCGAATAATTTCGACGTGATTCCGCCCGCAAACGGGTAATTATGGAGCCAAATCCGCATGCTAACAGCAGGAAGTCCCTATGCCTCACTGAGGGAGGGCCTTGCAGCGAAGCTCGTGCATGCCGTACTGGATTGGTTTGAGCAGCGGTTGCATGGCTGAAGATGTATTCCCAACAGGGCTGTCGTTTCGTTTTGGGCCCCCCGGACAAATCAGGGGGCCCGGCATGTACGACCCTGTATTTAGCAGGGTCGGGGCGAATTTGGCCCTTTAGGCTTCAGGGCTGAAATTGATTTCTCCCTGTAAATCAGGTTTGGCGCGGAAAATTCTGCAGCCTCATTTCTACCACAAAGCTGACAGCTGCAGTCCGCAAGTATTAATAGGCTAGTTAGCAATAGAAAAACTAGTAGCGTCATTCACTACGCACGCGTACAGACTTCCCCTCTTCCAACTCTTAGCAAAGATCTGAGATGTGTTTTGCTGCTGCTCTACCCATTCATGCCTGCTGGTGCACTGCATGACGGGGATCTGAGATGTGTTTTGCTGCTGCATGTTGGTTCACGCTACTGTCTGTGTGTCGTGGGATGGGAGCGAGGTTGTGATTGGTACAAGTACCAGTTGTATGTTGAGTTGAATCTGTGGCCCAGCCACGCAACTCCAAATTAGACAGGTTTGAATGCAATCAAAATAGAAACAGGGGGAGGGGGAGTGGAGGAGTTTGGGGGAAGGGGGAGAGGAGTGGGAGGGCAAGTTCAAAAAGATTTTGTTCCAGGGCTCGTAAAAAATCTACCCTTAATACTCCAGACCTAAGCCCGAAATCAGCCCTGTAAGGAATCAGGGCCACATTTTTTTCAACCCATCAATTTCAGTTTTCAAGGGCAACCCAGCCCTGGAATTCAAGGTCCAGCAGGGCAAACGCCCTGCAAGCGACAGGCCTGATTCCCAACGGTGGCTCATGTCCTGCACATAGCGGGTCTTGACTCCAGGAACAGAGTGGATGGATCTCATTGGACGTTTCGGGTACCGTATAAACGGGAAACTTATAAATTATATATCTTATCAAGGAGAACACTAAATATAGCCAAATTTCCATATCAAACCACTGTATAGACCCACACAAATCGGCTTCTCAAAATGAGTGCTCCAAAGCTGTCGCAACTTCAAAATGTGCAATAATTGTAGACACCCCCTGATGCACGTGACTCAGATAGGGTCCCTTACAAATGGAACTTCTGTTGACAAGGATTTACCGTACCTCCAACAAGACATCCGTCTTCAATTCGACGCTACACGAGCGATGAAAGTATGCACAGTTGTTACCATCCGAGGGTGCGGTACGACATACTGTAATGTAGACGCACAGCTAAGCTAGAACCTGTACAAAAAATAATAATATTACAGGCTATTCTTTTATATTGTGGTGGTTCAGCTGTACGTCCCTGTAGTGTTGAGACGGAGGGGGTATCGGCTGTAGGGACGGCAGAGGATATTACTGCAGTCGACATGTACACAGGAGGCAGAGGGGGGGATCGTTTCCTTATAGCCACAGCAGGATGGGAAAGCTAGAAGTCTTGGGTCCACAACAGGGAGTCCAGTCAGTGTTGTGCATGAACTGGGTGCAATATGCCCCCCCCAGCGGATGGGGGTGGTGGTGCTGCTGCTGGTGCTGCTTGTGGTGGTGATTACATGTACACGGGAGGTAAGGGAGGGGAGGATTTTCTCACAGCCACAGCAGCGTGGGAAAGTGAGAAGTCTCTAGCCCACGACACGGGGGTCCAGTCAGTGTCGTGGATAAACTGGGTGCACGAACGGATAGCTCTTGTGTTGAGCGCCCTGTAGTGATTCAAATGCACGTCCCTCACATGCATGTCCACCCCGGGCATGCGCGCAGGAGGGAGAAGCGCAGCGGGAGTGGGATTGCCGGCAGGGATGGAATTGTTGATGCTACCGGTGTTGCTGGTGGTGGCGGTGGTAGTGGTGGTGGAATTGTTGATGCTACCGGTGGTGGTGTTTGCAGTGGTAGCGCTGCTGCTGCTGCTGGTGGTTGCATTGGAGGTCAATAGAACAGGTAGGCTTGCAGCTGGGGTTGGTAGAGGCCACGTTTTGGCCACTGCATGAATCTGGAGGCAGTGTGGTGATGTGGAAGGTGAGAAGAAGCAAGGAGAGAGGTTTGAGTTGAGATGGCGTTGAATGCATGTAGTCCTATGCGTGGCAATCTTTTCCCTGGGGTCAGCAACGTACTTCCGATACGCATCAAGCCCCAAGAACAAGCGCATATAGCACCCCAAACACCACCCCAGTCGACCCACTCATCCCAAACAGCTTGACCTTTCTCGGGTCAGCCCCACGTACTTGCGATGCCCATCGAAATCCAGGCACAGGTCTCGGGTTCGTAGCGTTTGAGCGCCACACAGTGCACGTCGGCCTGGCGAAATAATCACCTGTCCTTAGCCGCCTCCCTTCCAGAGAGCCCCAAAGCAACCCCTGTTGACTCACCCCAAACAGCTTGACCCTTCTTAAATCCACAATGTATTTCCGATGCCCATCGAAGCCCAGGCACAGGTTTCTCGACTCGTAGCGCTTGGGCGCCACACAGTGCACGTCGGCCTGGCGGAATATCATCCTCTCCACCTCCCACCTGCCTCCCTCGTAAATACACACCCCCCACACCTCCCTGCCGGATAGACACCCCTTCTGCCAGATAGACACCCCTTCTGCCAGATAGACACCCCCGACAGGACCCTGTTGTCTCACTCACCCCGAACAGCTTGACCTTTCTTGGATCAGCGATGTACTTCCTGTGCCCATCAAACCCCAGGCACATATCGCGCGACTCATAACGCTTGGGCGCCACACAGTGCACGTCTGCCTGGCGGAAAATCATCCTCTCCACCTCCCAGCGGGGGGGCGACGAGGCAGAGACGTTCATTGAGTGCGAGCACTTGTCCGTGTAAAAGTAGAGACTGCCGAATGACACGTAGGCTGCTTGCTGCATGGAAAGGGAGGGTGGATACGAGAGGACACAGAAAACAAAGATTGAGCAGCGGCAGCAGACAATCCGGACGGAGAGCGCCAGATTTTCTCCTTGAAGAAGCAGTCCGCCTGGCGGAATATCATCCTCTCCACCTCCCAGCGGGGTGGGGATGAGGCAGACACGTTCATGGAGTGCGAGCACTTGTCGGTGTAAAAGTAAAGACTGCCAAAGGAGACGTAGGCTGCTTCCTGCATAGAGGAGGGCGGGAATAAGAGGTAAAGTAAACTGAGTGGCTTGCCTCAGTGGCTCAGACGTTCACTGGGTTGGTTGCTTTCTTTGATCCAGTAGCTGCCACGTTCATTCAGTGCGAAAACTTGTCAGTGTATAAATAGAGACTGCCGAATGACACGTATGCACGGGGAAGGGAGGGAGCAAGTGAGAAAAGGGAGGAGAAGAAAGGCCGCAGAAGAGAAGACTCGAGTCAAAGGGAGAGCACCCTGCAGGAGCAGGAGGCAAAGAGTCAATGAGAACACTGGCTCACCTCATAGAGAGTGAGTGCAGTAATGAGGTATGACCCTAGCGGTTGTGACACAAAGAGGTACTCATCAAAGTCCGGGAAGAGCACCCAGCAGGAGCGAGCGGTAAGAGTCAAAGGAAGAACAGCGAGTGAGTGCAGTGATGAGAGAAGAACCATAGAGGTACTCGTTAAGGTCAAGGAAGTGGTGAGGTGAGGCGAGGTGAGGTGAGGTGAGGTGAGGTGAGGTGAGGTGAGGTGAGGTGAGGTGAGGTGAGGTGAGGTGAAGGCAAACATTAAGACTAAGCACATGGGACTTACTTCATGCCTAGCAAGTGCGGTGATGAGGGAAGAGGCGAGGGGTTGCGAGACATAGAGGTAGAGGTACTCGTCGAGTCCAAGTCAAGGAAGAGCACCCGGCAGGAGCATGGAATGGAGGGAAGCAGCTGGAGGAGCACAGGTGACTCACGTCATGCTTAACTAGCGCAGTGACGAGGGAAGAGGCGAGGGGCTGCGAGACGTAGAGGTAAGGGCCAAGCTGCCCGACACGGAAGTCAAGGAAGAGCAGAGCACCCATCGAGAGCAGGAGACGAAGAGTCAAAGGGAGAACAACGGACTCACCTCGAGTCATAGCGAGAGAGTGCGGTGATGAGAGAAGAGCCAAACGGCTGTGAGACATAGAGGTACTCGTCAAAGCCCAGGAAGAGCACCCGTCGAGAGGTAATGGCAAACGCTAAGTGGACGCACATCAGACTTACCTCGTAGCGATTGAGTGCGGTGATGAGGGAAGATCCGAGAGGCTGCGAGGCGTAGAGGTACTCGTCAAAGTCGAGAAAGAGGGCACAGCGAGAGCAGGAGGCAAAGATTCGGAGGGAGGAGATTGGAGTCACCTCATAGCGTGCGAGTGCTGTGATGAGGGAAGAGCCCAACGGTTGGGAGACGTAGAGGTACTCGTCCAAGGCCAGGAAGAGGACCCAGCGGGAGGTGAAGAGCGAGCGAGCGAGTTGATAGGAAGCACACTGACTGACCTCGTAGCGAGTGAGTGCGGTGATGAGGGACGAGCCCAGTGGCTGGGAGACATAGAGGTACTCGTCCAGGTCGAGAAAGAGCACCCATCGAGAGGTGAAGAGAGAGCGGTAGGCACAGTCGTTGACCACTAGCACCTGGTTGGGTAGGGGGTAGGGGTGTGGGGAGGTGGACAGAAAGGGGTTAGCAACTAAGAATGTATTTCAGAGCCCAGTGAGAAGGGAAGAGGGAGCGATAGGTGCAGACGTTGACCACTAGGACTTGATTGGGGCAAATCCAGTCCCCCCTCTTACACTCCCTGTGTTGAGTTTACTTTTGAGAATTCTCAAAAGTAACTCAGTCGTTGAACACTGGCATCTGATTGATGGGCGGGGAGGGGAAACGGGGAGGTGGGCAGAGAAGGTGAGGATGGGTAGTCGGTCTGTCATTTATGAATGTATTTCAGAACTCAGAGAGAGGTGAAGAGGGACCTGAAAAGGCGCAAAGTTGACTTTTGAGTCGACACAAAAGTCAATTCAGAACTCAGAGAGAGGTGAAAAAGGACCTGAAAGGTGCAAATCCAATTCCCCATCACCTGCCCGTTCCGTCTCACCTGCCCGTTCCTTCTCACCTGCCCGTTCCGTCTCACCTGCCCGTTCCGTCTCACCTGCCCGTTCCTTCTCACCTGCCCGTTCCGTCTCACCTGCCCGTTCCTTCTCACCTGCCCGTTCCGTCTCACCTGCCCGTTCCGTCTCACCTGCCCGTTCCTTCTCACCTGCCCGTTCCGTCTCACCTGCCCGTTCCTTCTCACCTGCCCGTTCCGTCTCACCTGCCCGTTCCGTCTCACCTGCCCGTTCCTTCTCACCTGCCTGTTCCGTCTCACCTGCCCGTTCCTTCTCACCTGCCCGTTCCGTCTCACCTGCCCGTTCCGTCTCACCTGCCCGTTCCTTCTCACCTGCCCGTTCCGTCTCACCTGCCCGTTCCTTCTCACCTGCCCCTTCCTTCTCACCTGCCCTTTCCTTCTCACCTGCCCGTTCCTTCTCACCTGCCCGTTCCTTCTCACCTGCCCTTTCCTTCTCACCTGCCCCTTCCTTCTCACCTGCCCCTTCCTCCTCGCCTGCCTATTCCCTCTCATCTGCCCACTTCCCCTCACCTGCCCAAACCACGTCTCGAATTCGTCCACTTCAGTCACATCCGTTACAGTCATCTGTCCCTCCTTTATAAAGGGACCCAGCGTCCGCATTATAGGCTCGCCCATGCCGCCCGCATCGTACATGTGGAACAGATCCACCCCGTGGCCGTGCTGGTGGTATACCACCCACTCGAACACTCTGAGCCTGAGAGGATAAAACTGGAGCGAGCACCCTCATTACAGGCTCGCCCATGCTCCCCCTACCTCCCACACTTCCCCCCCTCCTTCCCCCTTTTCCCCTTCTCCCGAATCCCCCTCACCTGCCCGAACCATGTCTCGAATTCGTCCACTTCAGTCACGTCCGTTACAGTCATCTGCCCCGCCTTTATAAAAGGACCCAGCGTCCGCATTATAGGCTCGCCCATGCCGCCCGCATCGTACATGTGGAACAGATCCACCCCGTGGCCCCGCTGGTGGTATACCACCCACTCGAGGACCCTCAAAGAGTTGAATTGGCCATATATAGGTGAGGAGCAGTAGGTGATGTTACTCGCGTAAGGGGCTGAGGGCTGGGGATGGGGGTAAGGGGTGGGGAAACGGCAGGGAAAATATAGAGCAGAGGTCTGTTCCGTGGCCCTGCTGGTGGTATACCACCCACTCGAGCACTCTGAAGTAGTTGAGTTGAACTGGCCGTAGATGGGCGAGGAGCAGTAGGTGATGTTGCTGGGGTAGGGGGCTGAGGGCTGGGTGGGAGCAGGGCAAAAAGAGGGGAGAGAGAGCAGGTTTACACAGTGGCTGTGGCCCTGCTGGTGGTATACCACCCACTCGAGTACTCTCAGGGAGTTGAACTGGCCGTAGATGGGTGAGGAGTAGTAGGTGATGTTGCTGTGATAGGGAGCTGGGGGCTGGGAGCAGGACAGACAGAGGGAAGGAACAGTGGAGAAGGAGGGAGAGGAGAGCGGGTCCATCCAGTGGTGGTGCTGCGCTGGTGGTATATGTTAGAAATAGTCAGTCAACACTTTGTACTATATTCTATATCGGTTAGGTTACTTTGTAGGTTGGGTGTAGATTTGTAATCCCAACCTTATCTGGTTGGGATTCCCTCGTAATCCTGCAAATCTGCCAACTCACCAATTGAAGATTTGCTAGGATTCCCATCCCATCTTTTCCCTAGCTTTGCTCAACCCAACCCTGTTTGTACTTAAGGCCTAGTGCCTTCCTTATCAAGCAATCAGTTCAGTTCCAATTCTATCATGGTATCGAGCTAGTAAATTCCGCTCACGCGGAATCCGATCCTTGGCGTCCCGATGGTTCTCTCCTTCTAGGCTATGCCTATTTCGGTTCTCGGCTCCTACGCTTAGCGTTTTTCAAAAACTTCACATCGTCGCTCCGGTCAAGCGCGCATTCGGCTTCCTTCATCGCGCATCTCGTTTTTCAACGGCGACATTCTCTGCCTTCGACTTCCTTCATCGTAAGCTTCTGGTGTTTATATCTCCGTGGCAATTTTCCGCATCTTCTTAACTTCGAACAGGTTTTCAGCGGCGCAGCAGAACAGGTCCAGCGGCGCAGCGGAACAGGTCCAGCGGCGCAGCGGAACAGGTTTTCAACGGCGCAGCGGAACAGGTCCAGCGGCGCAGCGGAACAGGTTTTCAGCGGCGCAGCAGAACAGGTCCAGCGGCGCAACTCCTTTCCCCCATGCCAGTACCTCATTAGGAAGGGTCCACGTGCGGGGCAGAAATGCAATGGCACCAACCACCCTGAGGCAACTTGCTTCAAGAAGCGAGATGATGAGTGGTATGACGTCCACGGTGTCTCCAAGGACAAGCGCCCTCCCAACTGGGCACCACCCCGTCGCGTGAACCAGGTCGAGGCAGTGGAGGAGCCTGCTCAGGCATTTGCTAGTGCCCCATCTGATGTTCGCCTTAACCTGTTGTTCTCTGGTGCTGGTCTTATTAATGAGAAGGGGTCGCAGTACATCGGTGTCCAGCTTTCCCATCCGGCACAGTCATTGGCATCTGTGCCCCCACCCTCCGCTACAACCTCCTTGCACAGCGGGAAATCCAACACGCAGGCGTGATCACCATATTTCCCAATGATGTTGACTACTGTGACATGTTTGACGCCAAAACTGGACTCCATCTTGCTCGCTTCACCCTCAACTCCAACAACCTGTACACACTAGTTGTACCTCCCGTTCAAACATGCTCCCTCACCAACCTTCCGCTTCCATCCTCAGACTCCCCCTCATGTCACTGCCGCCTCCTCACTGACAAGACTATGCTATTTCATAACCGCCTCGGCCACATCAACTTCCGCGCACTTTCAGACCTTGCCACCAAACAACTCCTTCATGGGCTGCCCGCCTCACTTCCACAACCCCCCTCTCTTTCTGGACCGCCTTGCCTTGACTGTGCACAGAGCAAGCTTCGGGAACAGCCCCATCCTCCCACTGAGTCCATCTCTACCGCACCTCTCGATCGCGTACACATGGACCTTTGGGGTCCAGCTCCTGTTCGTTCCCGTGGCGGACACTTCTACTTCCTTGTCATCGTTGATGACTATTCCCGCTATGTGTCCGTTCACCTTCTCACCGCCAAGTCTGAAGCCCCAGCCATCATCATGGAATGGGCCAGGCAAGCTCATTCACACTTCAAAAATCAAGATTCTTCACTCTGACGGTAGCGGTGAATTCCGCAACACTCTCAAAGCTTTCTGCTCTACTGAGGGTATTCGTCAGACCTTCACTCTCCCAGACAGCCCTCAACAGGACGGTGTTGTTGAGGGCCGAAACCGCATCCTGGTGCAGATTGCTCGCTGCCTCCTCACTCATGCTTCCGCCCCTCCCTCTCTTTGGGGATACGCCATGCTCCATGCTGCCGCCCTCCACAATCTCCATCCTCATCCTCACCACACCCACACCACCCCCGCAGAGCTGTGGACGGGTCAAAAGCCGTCTGTCCGCCCTCTTTGTGTATGGGGGTGCACTTCCTATGTCCTCCTCAACTCCCAAGCCCGTCGCGCAGCTGGCGGCAAGCTTGCTCCGAAAACAATCACGTGCGTGTACCTCGGGCACAACTCGGACTCGCCAGACTACCTCTTCCTCCATCCTCCCACCAACAAACTCTATCGCAACCGAAATGTTTTCTTCGATGAATCCCACCCATTCTACCCCTCCTCCACAGTTTCTCCTTCTCCTCCGCCTCCCTCTCTTACTTGGGCTGACTTTGACAGCCTTCCTCTTGCCACCACTCCATCTCCTCCTCTTCCTGCTCCCTCCACAGTTTCCGACCCCCCGTCACCCGCTTCCCCATCCAGCACCACGCAGTCTCCCTCGCTCCAACCCGCCCCCGAGCCCATTCCTCTCAAAACCTACCAACGCCGTCCTCCTGCTGCTGCTCCTCCTCCTGATCCAGCTCCTGCTCTTGATCTGGCTCCTGCTCCTGATCCAGCTGCTGTTCCTGATGCTGCCACTACACCTGCTGCTTCCCCTCCTCCAGCTCCGCCTCCCTCCCCCATCACTGGTCGCACCCGCTCGCGCAAAGCTCCCAAGCCTCTTTCCCTTTCCATTCGTGTCTCTCTCAATCCTCCTCCTCTCGGGGGTGATTATTCGCTCATGCCCTCCCTTCTTGAGGACAGACATGAGGAGTTGATTGAGATTGACTCAGCCATACACGCACTCTGCTCCCTCTTTCCAGATATCGCAGAATCTCCCACCTTCAACTTCTCGGACAACCCCTCCATCCCCACACCTCTCACCTATGCTGAAGCAGTTTCTGGTCCTCACGTCGCTCAGTGGCTAGGGGCCATTGTAGCAAAGGGTGAGGCCTTCATTCACATAGGAACTTTCACAAATGTCTTTCCTCCCTCCAGTGTCAACATTGTGAAGGGAAAATGGGTTTTCCGAGTGAAACAACTTCCAGGCGAATTTCCCGCCTTCAAAGCCTAGTATTCTGCCAAGGGATTTACCCAAAAGCATGGACTGGACTTCTTTGAGACATTCTCTCCCACCGCCAAACCTCCCACACTGCGCACCCTTCTCGACGTTGCCGCTCGAGATGACATGGAGGTTGACTGCATGGATGTGTCCTCTGCGTTTCTGCAAGGGATCATTCGAGAGGAAATCTAGATGGAGCTGCCCGAAGGATTTCCAGCTCCCTTTCCACCAGGCACTGTATGGAAGCTGGATCGACCAGTCTATGGCCTCAAGCAAGCACCCCGGGAATGGCACAACAAGCTCAAGAGCACCTTAGGGTCCCTCGACTTTCACCCATCCACCTCTGACCCCAGCCTCTTCGTCCGAGCAACACCATCCTGCTTCTTCATCTTGGTTTATGTCGATGACATGATCCTTGTCACCAAGGATCAGACTGAGCTGGCAACAGTCAAAACCGCACTTGGTGAGAAGCTGGCCATGAAGGATCTTGAGAAGCTGACGAACTATCTGGGCATGGAAATCACACGTGATCGCACGGCCCGCACCATCACCCTCTCGCAGAAGTTCTACATCAACAATGTTCTGACCAGGTTCAAGATGCAGGAAGCAGCTTCAATGCCCACCCCACTCTCTCTGCAGCACCAACTCACTGCACCCTCTGTTCCCTCACCTGAGCCTTGTGATGAGGCTTACCCCAAGCTCGTCGGTTCCCTCATGTACGCGATGATGTGCACTCGACCAGACTTGGCCTATCCAATCAGTGTCCTGTCCTGTCTCGCTACGTTGCACCTGGTCGCTTCACGAGCCACCACTGGTCTGCCGCCAAGCGGGTCCTCCGCTATCTCAAAGGCACACAGGATTATGTGCTCACTCTTGGCGGCTCTTCCCCTGTTCGCCTTGTGAGGGGTACAGTGACTCGTCTTATGCTGATGACCAGAGTGATCGGCGCTCTTCCCAAGGGTATTGCTTTACCCTTGGCAGTGGGGTTGTTAGTTGGCGCTCCACTCGGTCGTCTTCCGTCTCACTGTCGACCTGTGAGGCAGAGCTGTATGCCGGGACCATGGCTGCCTAAGAGGCCCGTTGGCTCTCCTTCTTGCTGGCAGAACTTGGGTATCCTCAACCAGCCCCAACGCTTTGGTGTGACAACGAGAGCACCATTCATCTCACAAAGGACCCCGTCTTCCACGGCCGCACCAAGCACATTGAGGTCCGTCACTACTTTCTTCGTGAGCTGGTGCAGCGCGAGCAGCTGAAGGCTGAACACATTGCCTCCGACTGCAACCTTGCTGACTTGTTTACCAAGTCTCTTGTTCGCCAAGACCACTACCGCCTCCTCTCGTTCATGGGTGTTGGGCCGCCATGTGGCTGAAGTGTTGTCAGCCTAGGGGGTGTGTTAGAAATAGTCAGTCAACACTTTGTACTATATTCTATATCGGTTAGGTTACTTTGTAGGTTGGGTGTAGATTTGTAATCTCAACCTTATCTGGTTGGGATTCCCTCGTAATCCTGCAAATCTGCCAACTCACCAATTGGAGATTTGCTAGGATTCCCATCCCATCCTTTCCCTAGCTTTGCTCAACCCAACCCTGTTTGTACTTAAGGCCTAGTGCCTTCCTTACCAAGCAATCAGTTCAGTTCCAATTCTATCGGTATACCACCCACTCGAGGACTCTGAGGGAGTTGAACTGGCCATAGATGGGCGAGGAGTAGTAGGTGATGTTGCTGTGGTAGGGGGCTGACGGCTGGGGGTTGGCTTGGGGGAGAAAGGGAGAGGAGGGTGGAAGGGAGAGGGTGTGGAGGGAGAAAGGGTCTATGCTGTGGCTGCGTTGGTAGATGGGGAATGGGAGAGGGAGAGGAGGGAGGAAGCACGCAGGAATGGAATAGAACGGACTGGACCAACATCCCTCGTTATAGGAGGAGCACAATAGAAGCACCTGCACCGCAACCCTACACACCTCGAGTGGCAACTTCTCATTGGCCGGTTCGCCGAGCACCAAGATCTCCTCTCGTTCGATCACAACCGTCAGATGGCCCCCCGCACTCCGCCGCCCGTCCCCTTTCCGCCCCCGCTCTCTTGTGCTGGGGGTGGGGCTGCTGAGCTGGCAGAACAGCATTGCCACCTCATACGGCTTGCTGTGCGATTCGCCGGGGTATTCTATCGAGACTTCGCCGAGGATAGGGGAGGAGGATGACGTGGCAGGATACCAGCTGGAAACGAAGAAGCCAATATGGAGGACGGATCAGAGGAGGGAGAGCAAGTGAAGGTTGGAGCAGAGCAGCAGAGTTAGAGCAAGGGGGAACACACCGAACAACATTGGCACCACTTATGAGGCGACTCAAGAGCAGCACAATAGACACCAAGGGGAACAGCACAGCATATCTACCTCATACAGCCCACTGCGTAAATCGCCCCAAGTGGAGAGGAGACAACTCACCGGCACACCCGAGCATCGAGGTTGCGGTGCAGAGGCAGAGGAGAGAGGCCAATCACCACAAAGAGGCTTGCAGAGAGGCGGTATGCGCTGAAATACACAAAGCCCTGGCAGGCGCGCATGGGAAAGGGGATGGGAGCGATGCATGTGAAGCGGAGAGAAAGAGGCTTGCAGAGAGGCGGTACGCGCTGAAATACACAAAGCCCTGGCAGGCGCACAGCGAGGGAGGGAGGGAGGGAGAATGCAAGGGGAGGGGAGCAAGAAATGAGCAGCAACCTCGATGGTTTGGTAGCAAGGAATAACCACTCAGACAACAACCACAAGCATTGAGGCCCAATTGCTGGTGGTTGGAACGTAGACAGGATGATGATTATGCTGGTTGAGAGGTCATACATAGAAGAAGAGCAACTCATCCTAACGAGCTGGCTTTTGAGTCGACTCAAAAGAGCAACTTATCCTAAAACGAGAGCCCAGCTTGCATCTGCATGCACTCACCTGCATGACGAGTCCTCCTCGTTTGAACGTGCAATTTGTGGCGTTGGAGAGGTGGAGCGAAGAGATATCTGACTGACATCCCCTTTGCCCTCTTCTCCTCATCCTCGCCCCAGGTATCCTTTGCTTGTAAGTCGACTTAGAACACTCACCAGCATGCCAAACCCTCGCTTGAACGTGCGATCTGTGGCATTGGAGAGGCGCAGCGCAGCAATTTTTTCCCTGCCCTCTGCTTTCCATCCCCCTCCCTCTTCCCCTTTCCCCTTCCCGCTCCCCTTCCCCCTCCTCCCAGCCCCATCCCCAGCCCACACATACTCGCCTGCATGCCAAACCCTCGCTTGAGCGTGCGATCTGTAGCATTGGAGAGGCGCAGCGCAGGCGTCTTTCCCTGGCCCCTGCTTTTCAACCTCCCCCAGCCCAGCTGTCCCCCTTCCCTCCTTCCCCCCTTTCCTGGCCCCATCCCCGGCTCCAACAGACTCACCTGCATGCCAAACCCTCGCTTGAAAGTGCGGTCTGTAGCATTGGTGAGGCGCAGCGCAGATGTCCCCCCCTGTCCCGTCCCAAGCGCGCCACCCCCTTCCTCCCCCCATGCGCTTTCCCCTCCGCGCCCTTCCCCGCCGCTGCTGCTGCGCAGATCCACGTCAGCGGCGTCGTCAATATCCAGAGTCCCGGAAAACCGGGGGACGGTGCTGGTTGGGGGAAGGGGAGAGAGGGGGGGAGGGGGGACTTGGGGGGAGCGGAAAGGGAACAGGGGGGTTCAGTGGAGGCTGAGTGTGATCGGTAGAAGCAAGTCAGGGGCTGTGGGGTGGGAGATTAAATAGGAAATCGACTCAGAAGAGAAACACGGGTGGTGGGGGAGAGATGCGTTGGACAGGAAATTGGGGAAAATGAGGACTCTCGAGGCCTCGGGAGGATGTGGAGAGGTATGGAGGACAGGGGCGTGTAACGGTAACGAGTCCCGGCCAGTACGCGTACCCGTAGAGAGTGACGAGGGTGAAGCAGTTGGTGCACAGCAGCGCGAAAACGAGGAACTTGTTGCGATTGTAACCAGCTGTCGCGTGCGCTTGCGACAGCACCTGCGTCAGCTTCATAACTGCAATGGCTGCGTACGCGTTAGTAACTGAAGCGTGTTTTATGAGGAGCGGTCGAGCATGGTCGGTAACGGTCGCCTGTCGTCAGTTATTCGCCGCATTTCGTCATACATACGCCACAACATTGACACATCCTTCGCGCTTCTCTCGCATTCGATGCGGTAGCGGTCGCACTCTATGGACCAAGGCTGTCCCAGGTCCTGCAGGCGTACAACTGCTCGTAGTCGCTAGTCGTCGTTACTTGTCGCTGATCGTCTCTACTTTTCGATCATGATCGCTTGTTGTCACTGCTTGTCGCTCGTAGTCCCTGGTACTCACTAGTAGGAGTCCAGCAGTCGACAGAACGGAATTTTTAGAGATGGAGGACAATACGAGTGGAGCAGTCAATATCGCGTATGCAGGAAAGACATTCGTGTTTTGGTTGTCAAAAGCAGAATGATTTCAATGAACGATTCCCGAGTCGTTTTGAGTGGTTTAGAGCGGTTTCAAACCCAAAACATTGTTTCTTGCGAAGAAATCGTGTGCTATTGATTGCCATTGCCACACCAGCCTGGCAAACACAACTCTCGTCAGCAACATCAAGGCTGGATCTATCTCTTCAGGCCCACCCGCACCAACACCACTGCTGCGGTATAATCAGAGCAGAGGCGGCGGATTTGCAGCAGCTACGGCTGCCAAGTCAATAATCGTCAGGCTGGTGTGGCCTTTCGTTCGCGTTTGGTCACATTTACGTAGGAGCCTCGAGGTGCTAATAACGGAACCTTTTCCGAGTTTCGTCCGCACTGGACAGTCAGCATTGCCCAGCTAAGTCCGCGATTCTAGCCTTCCTCGTTTCTACTACAATGCGGAATCATTGACGCTTGATCCCTTCTTATTTTCCCGTCAATATCCTGCTAAGTAGTAGCCGGACTGGTTGTCTTCTAATCTCTCGACAGATTCAGACCTAGTGGGATTTCATTCCCATCCAAACTGGTCACAATGGCAATAGTCTCCGCGCCTCGGCTGGTAGCGTGCTTGCTGATCCTAGCGGTCGGATTCAGCCACGTGGCGGGCATCCGGTTCGAGGTGACGGCGTATAGCAAGTGTCTCGGCGAGGAGGTTCAGGAGGGGACTCTTGTTGTCGCGACGTACCAAGTGGTGCCGAGCGGCGAGAGTAGCCCTCTCACCAAGATCACCGCTAAGGTAGGCGAAATACCATATTCATCTTGAATGGAGTTGTTATTATAACAAGGTTTGATTCAGGAGGGGACCCTCGTCATCGCGACGTACCAAGTAGTGCCGAGCGGCGAGAGCAGCGGTCACACCAAGATCACCGCTAAGGTAGGCGGATGAATTGCTCCAGTAATGTGGTGAAGGGGAGACGTGATTATAAGGAGGTTCACTCTACAGGGTACTCTTGTCGTGGGAACGTAATTAGTGGTGTCAAGTGGTGTCAAGGTAGGCAGATAAATCGCTCCTGTATTGTGAAAGGGCGATGTGATTATAAGGAAGTTCATTCTCCAGGGTACTCTTGTCGTTGCGACATACACCAACATCACCGAAAGTGCTGGTTGTGCTGGTCGAGCCCACACGTATGCAAAATATTCAGCAAACTAGTCATGAGTATCATTTATCTAAGACACCATGAGCCACCACAATGCGCTGATTATGCTGTGCGTTGATACGGGGCAGCAGGGCATGGCATGACATGACATGGCTAACATACCTCATGGCACAGCGTGTTCCTGCGTGGCATGGCGTGGCAGGGTTGACGAACCTCACATCACATCACATCGCATCGCATCGCGTCACATCACATCACATCACATCACATCACATCACATCACATCGCATCACATCGCATCGCGTCACATCACATCACATCACATCACATCACATCACATCGTGTCACATCACATCACATCGCATCCCATCCCATCCCATCCCATCCCATCCCATCCCATCACATCCCATCCCATCACATCCCATCACATCCCATCCCATCCCATCCAATCCCATCCCATCCCATCCCATCCCATCCCATCCCATCCCATCCCATCCCATCCCATCCCATCCCATCCCATCCCATCCCATCCCATCCCATCCCATCCCATCCCATCACATCACATAACATAACATCCCATCCCATCCCATCCCATCCCATCCCATCCCATCCCATCCCATCCCATCCCATCCCATCCCATCCCATCCCATCCCATCCCATCCCATCCCATCCCATCCCATCCCATCCCATCCCATCCCATCACATCACATAACATCCCATCCCATCCCATCCCATCCCATCCCATCACATCCCATCCCATCCAATCCCATCCCATCCCATCCCATCCCATCCCATCCCATCCCATCCCATCCCATCCCATCCCATCCCATCCCATCTCATCCCATCCCATCCCATCCCATCCCATCCCATCCCATCCCATCCCATCCCATCCCATCCCATCCCATCCCATCACATCACATAACATCCCATCCCATCCCATCCCATCCCATCCCATCCCATCCCATCCCATCCCATCCCATCCCATCACATCACATCACATCGCATCACATCAGCCATGGAAGGTGGCATCTCCGCGTGGGTGGCAGCTTCACTGGCAGAACGACGTGGAGGAAGGGGCACTTCTTTTGAGGCGCCTAAACGTCGTCTTTGGTCAAGCTTACATATCTCACATCACATCCCATCACCACACATTACCGCACATCATCGCACATCCCATAATGGCAGGTGAAATCCCTGTTCGGGCAGCAACTGCACTGGCAGAGCGACATGGAGGAGGGGCATTTCTTTTGAGGCGCCTCAGAATCATCCCTATTCATGCTAACATACCTCACATAACATCCCATCACACCACATCACCTCACATCACCGCACATCACCGCACGGCAGGTGACATCCCCGTTCGGGCGGCAATCGCACTGGCAGAGCGATGTGGAGGAGGGGCACTTCTTATAATGCACCTCAAATTCGTCTCTGTTCTTGCTGACATACCGCACATAACATCCCATCACCGCACATCACCGCTCTGCAGGTGACGTCCCCGTTTGGGCGGCAGCTGCACTGGCAGAGTGACGTGGAGGAGGGGCACTTCGGATTCACGGCCAAGGAGTCGGGGCAGTTCATGGCTTGCTTCTGGATGCCACATGGCACTCCAGGCAAGGATTCCCTCATGGTATGCACACTCAAGAGTTATGTGATTGTTTCTGTGCCTGTGGATATGACGAGGCTCGTGGCCTGCCATGGTAACATGAGGATTCAGGGCAGTTCATGGCTTGCTTCTGGATGCCGCATGGCACGCCGGGCAAGGATTCTCTCATGGTATGTATGTATGTATGCATGTGTGTGAGCGTGAGTACGAGTGTGAGTGAGTGAGTGAGTGAGTGTGTGTGTGTGGGTGCGTGTGTGAGAGTGAGTGAGTGTAAGGCGACAGAGCAGCGTGGAGTGGAGGAGGGGCACTTCGGGTTCACGGCCAAGGAGTCGGGACAGTTCATGGCTTGCTTCTGGATGCCACATGGCACTCCGGGCAAGGATTCCCTATGGTACGCACACTCAAGAGTACTGTGATTGTGTCTGTGTGTGTGGACATGACAAGGCTCGTGGAGTGTCATGGTAACATGAGGAGTTGGGGCAGGTCATGGCATGACACATGCCATGGATGCCGCATGGCACTCCGGGCAAGGATTCCCTTATGGTATGTATGCATGTGTGTACGTGTGAGTGTGGTCTGTGTGAAAGTGAGTATATGTGAGATGGCAGAGCAGCGTGGAGAGGAGGAGGGCACTCTGGGTTCACAGCCAAGGAGTCAGGGCAGTTCATGGCTTGCTTCAGGATGCCGCATGGCACTCCGGGCAAGGATTCCCTCATGGTATGTATGTGTGCATGTGTGAGTATGTGTGTGTGTGTGTGTGTGTGTGTGTGCGCGCGTGCGTGCGTGCGTGCGAGTGTGAGTGTGTGTTAGAGAGAGAGAGTGAATGTAAGATGGCAGGACATTGTGGAATGCAGGAGATTTTTGAGGCGCCTCAAACATCGTGGAATGCAGGAGATTTTTGAGGCGCCTCAAACATCGTGGAATGCAGGAGATTTTTGAGGCGCCTCAAACATCGTGGAATGCAGGAGATTTTTGAGGCGCCTCAAACATCGTGGAATGCAGGAGATTTTTTAGGCGCCTCAAACATCGTGGAATGCAGGAGATTTTTGAGGCGCCTCAAACATCGTGGAATGCAGGAGATTTTTGAGGCGCCTCAAACATCGTGGAATGCAGGAGATTTTTGAGGCGCCTCAAACATTGTGGAATGCAGGAGGGGCACAGCACTTCAGGCAAATCCATGCAATGTGTGTGCGTGTGTGTGTGAGCAGGTGGACCTGGAGTGGCGGTCAGGCGTGGCAGCCAAGGACTGGGAGAGCATAGCGAAGAAGGAGAAGATCGATGTGAGCAAGGAGCCTACTGACCCATCATGTCTCTACTCGATTTTCTAGAATGTTCAAACATACTGTCATTCGGATGGGATTTCACCCATCATGACTCTTGAATGAGTGACCTGTCAGGGCCCGCCCCTCATTGGTCCATGCATGGCCATGGCTCTAAGTCAAGCTCTATTAAACCTGTTGCTCGCCATGCCACATTCATGTGCTATCATGTGGCCATGTCAGTTGAATTTGAGCTGTGAGGCTGTCACTCGTCTCCGTTCCCTCGTCCATGCATGCCCATGCTGTATCTGCTGCTTGCTGTGTTGCCCCATGCTCTATCATATGGCTACGTGAGTAGAAGTGGAGCTCTGAGTTTGTGAGCTGTCTCTGTCCCCTCGTCCGTGAAGTGAGTTGAATTGGATCTCTGTGGCAGTGAGCTGAGGCAAACACAACTTTCTGATGCTTGGGATGGCATGCCATGGGTGATGTGTGGCATTGATGTATCATGCCATGGTTTGACACGTAATTTAGCATGGTATGGTATGGCATGGCATGGCATGGCATGGCATGGCGTGGCATGGCATGGCATGTCATGGCATGGTATGGCATGGCATGGCATGATACGGATGTACTGTGACATGGCATGGTCTGCATGACATGCATGACATTGTATGGCATGGCATGGGATTGACCAACAGGGCATGGGGCTGGAGCTGAGGAAGCTGGATGAAACAGTGAGGGCCATCCGAGATGAAATGACCTACTTCCGGGGGAGGTGAGATGCGGGGGAGGTGGTATTCTGGGGAGGTGGAACGCTTTGAGCAGGTGGAATGTTGAGGGCGCAACAGGGCATGGGGTTGGAGCTGAGCTGAGGAAGTTGGGACGAGGCAGTGAGGGCCATCTGAGATGAGATGGCCTACTTCAGGGGGAGGTGAGACACAAGGGATGGTGAGATGCTGGGCAGGTGAAACAGGATGTGAAATTCTGGAAAAGGTAGGTATGGTGGAGGAGTGTGTGGACTTTATGCATTTGATTGAAGTAGGTGGAAGGAAACGTGTGTGAAGCTTGACCAGGGCTCGACAATTTTTCGGCTTTCATTCCCCCAGCTTTTTACCCTAGCGCTTTGTTCCCACAGTTTCTTAGACAGGATATGATACCAGCTAATGCAAGTCAAACAATGAAAATCAGGGCAGTGGATTGTTTGTTGTGGCGCATGGGTTGAAATCGAATTGTCAATGTCTCGGCCTTCTTTCATCCTCCTCCCTTTCGCCAACACCCTTTTTTCATATTATTTTCTTTTTTTCTCTTACTCTTTTCTATTACCCCCTCCTCGCCCAACTCTACATTCTCCCATCTGTTCCCCGTTCTTTTTCGAAAAAGGGAGTCGGAGATTCGAGATTCTAATGAGCTGACCAACGAGCGGGTGGCCTTCATAAGTATCACGTCGCTGCTAATATGTGTGGCTCTAGCATCCATTCAACTGTGGTTCTTGCTCTCCTACTTCCATCGGAAGAAGCTGCTCTGAGGGGACAGTGGACATAGGAAACAAAGTTGCTGCAAGAGGTGTATTTTGCGTAGTAGTACCGTAGTATGTTGTTTTAGAGTGGAGTAATCCATGTGGTAGTATATTTTACATGTGCACCAATCTACTCTAGAGGGAGGTACGGGCATTATCAATGGCATAGTCATATTTGTCTGAAGCACTCTCAGATGTATGTAGTGCCTAAAATGTCTAGAGCATACGTAGGTTTTGTATCGTTGTAAGACTGTACTGCCTTTTTTTTCGCATTTCCGTCTTGGTGTCCAGGTTGTGTTCCCACTAGTTCGCGAGTCTTCACTACTGCTATATCGAAGCTTGGTTCACCCATGAGTGGGATCAGCAAAGGACAGTGCAGAAGCAAAAGAGCAAGCAATCTCACCAGGCCATACTCGGCGTTGCCGTTATCTATAGCTCCGCCTTCCACGAAGTACATACGCGTAGCCCTGTTTCCGCGACCGCGAGCCTCGTAAGTCCACGGCAAGTCGCCCTCTCCGCGACGCCGGCTGCGATCGGCGCGCTTTGGATGGCCTCGATGGCGATATCGCGGAGCGCCGTCCGATGGTCCGTCGCGCCGCTGCTAGCTCCTTCTCGATCGAGTGTCGCTTTTTCGTGTACATCGCAAACGAGCCTTGCTCCCTTCGCTGCACCGCTATCAGCAAGTTTCGCTGCAGGCCAATGGCGTGGCTCCTCCCAGTTTCTCGGCGATTCCATCGGCACCAGCTCATTTGTATCTGCTATATGGCGTAACGCGGTATGATACTATGGGGTATGACACGATTGGCTATGACGCAATAGGGTATGGCATTATGGGATACAACGTATGGGGTATGGCACTATGGGGTACGACGCTATGGGGTATGGCTCTATGGGGTATGACGGTATGGGGTATAGCTTTATGGGGTATGACGGTATGACGTATGGCTCTATGCGGTATGAAGGTATGAGGTATGGCTGTATGGGGTTCGAGGATACTATGCAGCATGATACTATGCGATATGGCCGGGTGTTGCTTACATGTCCTCTTGGATACTTGGAGTGTCGCTTGAATTGATGTGCTTTGATTCAAAAACATTGGAGGAGTATATTAATATTGCAAAGAAGGGTTGATGCAGTCGTGTTGGGCCAGCCTTGTTATTTTCCCCCCACCAATCCATAATATCTCCCCCCCATACTGAACCCCTCCCTCCTAGAGTTCAACTTCTCGCATCCTGTTGCTTCTCTTCGTTTGTCATACAACCCTGAGCTCTTCCACACACGCCTTTGCAACCCTACGCACCCCTATGCACCCTTGTGATCCCTTGTACACCTCAGTGCACCCTTGTGCCAGCCTGTGCATGCCTCACATTGCTACTCTTTCCCCTCTTAGCTCCCTTGCTCCTTCATTTTATTGCAGAGGTGGGACAGCTCGCTCGCCGCCACCTGCCAGAGAAGCACTCCTTCCTACGCACCCTTGTGCACTCCTTCCTACGCACCCTTGTGCACTCTTCTGCCCCCTTGTGATCCCCTGTGCACCCCAACGCACCCCAGCGATTCCCTGCGAGCACCTCTCATTGCTCTTCCCTCCCCTTGTTCCTAAACACCATTTCAGGGGTGGGAGAGCCCACTCACCCTCACCACCCAAAGAAACACTCCTCCCTACCCACCTTGTGCTTTGATGAGAAAGACTCTTAGGCGGGGTAGCGTCCCGCGTCCGGACGCAGCCGGAGACGCTGGACGCTCCGCTAAAAAATAATCGGGCTGACCGAAAAAAAAAGTGATCCCTGTGATCTCCTGTGCATCTGAACGCACCCCAGTGGTTGCCTGCGAAGCGAACACCTCGCATTGCTCCTCCCTCCCCTTGTTTCTTGATTCCATTGCAGGGGTGGGACGGCTCGCTCAACCCCACCAGCCAGAGAAACACTCCTTCCTACGCACCCTTCTGCACCCTTGTGATCCCCTCTGCATCTCAACGCACCCCAGTGAATGCCTGCGAACACCTCACATTGCTCCTCCCTCCCCTTGTTCCTTAATTTCCTTGCAGGGGTGGGACAGCTCGCTGACCCTCACCAGCCAGAGAAGCACGCCGATCCTCCCCAAAACAGAGGCAGCTGGCTGGACTCGAAAAGGAGGCAAGTCAGCAGGAGGCAGCGGCGGCAAGACAGCCAAGCCCAAGGCCAAGTCGTGGAAAGAACGCCACGAGAAGTTCGTAAAGCCGTTTATTCTTGACGTGTACATTTCCAAGCGTTACGTGAGCGCGAAAGTGATGCATAGGGTTACCAGCCGGGTGGTTTCGGTTGCGACTACGAGTGCGAAGGATTTGAGGATGTCGCTTCCATCTCTCGTGGATGAGAATGCGTGTCGGGTGATTGGGAGGCTGATTGCGGAGAGATCTATGGATGTAGATGTGTTTGCGGTGGTGTTTAGATTGAAGAAAGGGCAGAAGTACGAAGGGAAGTTGGCTACTGTGGTTGATACAATGGTGGATGAAGGCGGCATCATGCTACTGTAGTCATTTACTGTTACAAATGTGTTCCTTGAGTCGAGGTGAGAAGCAGCTGGTTGTGTTATATGAGGTGAGAAGCAAAAAAGCTAGGTAGGGTAGGGCCGAAGCTTAGGACCTAGGGCACAGAGACAAATGCAAGACCACAAGAAACAGTGTTGGTGAAATGGGTCTTACTGTTCAAGGAGTTTTCTCCTAGTACCGTAGCCACATTATAGCGCACAAATACTTGAGTTTCGTCATTTGGCTACGTAACTGCACAGGTACCGTATCTATTACGACAGCACAGAGGAATTAGCAAAACAATGTAACAGCGTAAAGTGTGTGCGGAGACGCTTCGCCGGACTTCCGAGCCTTCGCGACCGATTCGCTAGACAAGCTGCGTGAGATGTGATCCCGAAAAAGTTGGCCGGGCATGCCCTAAATCGAAATAGGTATGGTTCCGGTGGGTTCCATTGCGATTCAAAACGTTCGAATACGGTACGTGTCGAAACGAATTTCCCATTTCAATGCAGTGGAGAACGCTTGTACCCCTCTTGCAGCAGGTGTTCACTGAATTCTGAATTCCCTTCTTTTCTGCCTCTCCGCTCATTCACTCCTCCGCTCCTCCGCGCTTTTCCTCCGCCATCGCCTTTACCTCTCTTAGTAACCTCTAACTGAAGCAGCGAGAATGAGTATCTTAACGTGTGGCGTCTTCCTCAAAGAATTTCCCGTTCCCGTTCCCATGGCGCGTGTCGTTCCTCGAGCCGCTCTTCGCGCCGCGTCGCACCCCCGCTTGCTTGTAACGTTCGTGTCGCTCCTCGCTCTGCTCCCTGGGGCTCGCATCGGGTGCCACGCGTGGGGCCACGTCGGCCACGCGTTCACGTGCGCCATTGCTCAGGTGCGGTTACGTATGTTTCTTGTGTACATCAATCGTTTTTTGTAGCATAGGTAATTACGTGAGACCGCAATAGAGGGTCACGTCGGCCACGCGTTCACGTGCGCCATCGCCCAGGTAAGCTGTGTTAAGTAGATTAGCTAACTAAGTTTGTTCCTATAACTATCTGTGGCAGCACGAGGTTTCGTGGGGCCACGACGGCTACACGTTCACTTTTGCCATTGCTGTGGTGGTTTCGTATGTTTTCACATGCACCGTAAAGAGTTGAGAGAGCAAAAAAAAAAAAAAAAAAAAAAAAAAAAAAAGCAAACCGAAGGACGGCATGGTATCACGTGAATGCGTGGCCTATGAACGTGTAACCGTACCTTGTTTTTCCCCGCCTGCCTCCTCACACCTTGCTGGCGGACGAAGCAGAGCAGCAGCAGCAGTGGCAGCGCTGCTCCCCCCGCATGGCCAGGCGCAGCCTCCCTGCCGAGTGCTCGTGGGGTTGTGGGTTGATCATGCCTCGTCCTTCCTTGTATGCCTCGTCTCCGAACCGAACCCCCCTCGCCTATCCAGGCCCTGTTGACGGACGAGGCAGTAGCAGCAGTAGCGGCGCTGCTCCCTCCCGTGGCCAGGGGCAGCCTCCCTGCCGTGTGCTCGTGGGCTGATGCGATTGCGCACACCAAGGGGTGGGCCTGGTCCGCGCCTCTGCACTACATTGATACCCCTGACTTCGCTTGTTCCTACGATGAACGCCGTGAGTTGGATGACTGGGTACGCTGCACTTCGTTATGGTACGGTACGGTACGGTACAGTACCCCAAGCCAAGCTCCTAATAGTGCTCTCTCTCTCTCCCTGCTGTGTGCTTGTCGGCGGGCGCCATTCGGCACACCAAGGGGTGGGCCTGGTCCACGCCTCTGCACTTCATTGATACCCTGGACTTCGCATGCTCGTATGATGAACACCGCGAGTTTCTCTGACTCACGGGTAGGTACGGCATAATAAGGTATGGTACAGCGCGGTACCCCAAGCAAGCCATTTGCTACACCAAGGGATCGGCTTGGTCCTTGCCTCCTTATTTATCATTGATACTAATAACTTCGCCTGCTCATATCATGAATGGCGTGCGTTGGGTGACTGCGGATAATACACCCTAACTTCACATGCCGCGCTGATGCAGTGCCACATCCTCCTCTTTTTTCGCTTCCCTCCTCTCCCTTCCTCCACTTTGCGTATTTTTTACAGGTGATTGTGCCTTCGCCCGTCACCCTAATGTGTGCGCCGCTAACGCGATCACCGATTACACCTCCCACTGCATCACCTACTCTTCGATTCCACTCCCTCTCTCCCCTTCCCTCCCTCTCCTCTCCCCCACTTCCTCCTCACAGGCGATTGTGCCTTCGCCCATCACCCTGGAGTGTGCGCTATCATCAACTACACATCCCAGCGCGTCACCTGCTCTTCCATTCCACTCCCTCCCTCCCCCTCCCTCCCTCCCCCTCCCTCCCTCCCCTCTCCCCCACTTGCTCCTAGCAGGTGATTGCGCCTTCGCCCATCACCCCGGAGTGTGCGTTGCCAGCGCTATCATCAACTACACATCCCCAGCTCCTCTCCTACCCTTCCCTCCTCTCTCTTCCTCCACTCTCCCCTTCCCCTTCAGGCGATTGCGCCTTCGCCCATCACCCCGGAGTGTGCGTTGCCAGCGCTATCATCAACTACACATCCCCAGCTCCTCTCCTACCCTTCCCTCCTCTCTCTTCCTCCACTCTCCCCTTCCCCTCCAGGCGATTGCGCCTTCGCCCATCACCCCGGAGTGTGCGTTGCCAACGCTATCATCAACTATACATCCCCAGCTCCTCTCCTACCCTTCCCTCCTCTCTCTTCCTCCACTCTCCCCTTCCCCTTCAGGCGATTGCGCCTTCGCCCATCACCCCGGAGTGTGCGTTGCCAGCGCTATCATCAACTACACATCCCCAGCTCCTCTCCTACCCTTCCCTCCTCTCTCTTCCTCCACTCTCCCCTTCCCCTTCAGGCGATTGCGCCTTCGCCCATCACCCCGGAGTGTGCGTTGCCAACGCTATCATCAACTACACATCCCAGCTCCTCACTTACACTCCACATTCCTCCACACAGCTCCATTCTTCTCTCCATCATTCCATCCCCACATCCTCCCCCCAATCCGCCTCTCCCTTCAAGCCTGCCATTTTCACCACCTCCCCTCACCGCCGGAGTCTCCTTTTCAGAGGGGTATATGAGACAGAATCTGGGGTGCTGGGGGGTGGTGAGGAGGAGGGAGACGGACAAGTGGGAGCAGGGGAGGAGGGTGAAGAGGAAGAGGATATGGTGCGGGTGGTAAAGGGAGTGGTTGGAGACGGTGCGTGGAGTGCAGCTCCTGCTGCTGCTGGTGCTGCTGCTGCTGGTGCTGCTGCTGCTGCCAGTGGTGCTGCTAGTGAGCAACAAGCAGCACTGGATGTGGGGTCCATAAGACGCTACAACCTGACAGAGGCACTCATGTTCCTCGCGCACTTTGCAGGGGACGTGCACCAGGTGAGCTATTATCGGTTAGTATGCCAATCAGGTGAGCCGTTATCGGTTAGTATCCCAATCGGGTGAGCTGTTATCGGTTAGTATGCCAATCAGGTGAGCTGTTATCGCTTAGTATGCCAATCAGGTGAGCTATTATCGCTTAGTATGCCAATCAGGTGAGCTATTATCGCTTAGTATGCCAATCAGGTGAGCTATTATCGGTTAGTATGCCAATCAGGTGAGCTATTATCGGGTAGTATGCCAATCAGGTGAGGTGTACAAAAGATGATGTTGGTAGCGTATTGTGACCCATCCGTCCCTCTATCCCCTTCTTTGCCTCCACTCGTCTCGTCTGCCCCATATCCCCCTGCTCCAGCCGCTGCATGTGGGGTTCACATCTGATCTGGGCGGCAACAGGGTGCATGTGACATGGTTCAGGAGGAAGACCAACCTGCATGCGGTATGTCTGTCTGCCATGCCCTGCCATGACATGCCATGCCATCTGGTACCATGCCATGCCATGCCATCTGGTACCATGCCATGCCATGCCATGCCATGCCATCTGGTACCATGCCATGCCACGCCATGCCATCTGGTACCATGCCATGCCATGCCATGCCATGCCATTCCATGCCATCTGGTACCATGCCATGCCATCTGGTAGCATCCCATGCCATGCCATGCCATCCCATCCCATGCCATGCCATCCCATCCCATGCCAGTATGTCCACTATCCCATACCATACATGCGGTGTGCTTCCCTGCTGTGCCATGGCATTGGCATACCATGCCATTTCATTCTCAAGCCACCGCCATCCATCATCCTCATTCCCACCGCCATCCATTGCCCTTACAGCAGCATCTGCACCGCCATGCTCCACCACGTCTCCTAGCATCCTCCTTTCTTTCCTCGCACCCCCTTCCACCCATCTCCACTCCTCTTCAAACATCTCGCATCCCTCCAGGTGTGGGACATATACATCATAGCCTTGGCCATCCACCTGCGCTGAACCAGCCTGCTGCTGCATCACACCGTTCCTCATGCCTTCAGGGTCCTTCACCTTCCCCACCCCTCTCCACCCTTCTCCACCGCTCTCCACGCCAGGTTGGGACGACTTCACCGTAGCCTCAGCCATCCACCTGCACTACAATGGCACCAGCACCGCCATGCTGCATCACATCTCCCACCAACCCACATGCCCTGGTCCCTTCATCCTCCCACCCGTCCCAACCCCTCTCCACGCCTCCCAAACTCCCTCACATCCCTCCAGGTGTGGGACAGCTTTATCATAGATTCGGCCATCCACCGGCGCTACAACGGCAGCAGCACCGCCATGCTGCATCACATCGCCCACCAACTCGCCTCCGACTGGCCGCCCCTCATCCCTGCCTGGGCCTCCTGCCCTGGAGACGTTCTTTCTCCTGCTGCTGCTGCTGCTGCTGCTGCTGCTGCTGCTGCTGCTGCTGCTGCTGCTGCTAGTGCTTCTGGTGTTTCTGATGATGCTCAAATCTCATCGCATCTTTCTCCTGCTCAGGCTGCTGCCTGCCCAGCTGTGTAAGTGCCTCTGCTCTCCACATTCTCGCCTCTGACTGGCGCCCCCTCGTTCCACCCGTCCAGCTGCCCAGCGGTGTATCTCATCGCACCTATTTGCACCTCCTCGCATCTCCTTGCATCTCCTTGCATCTCCTTGCATCTCCTTGCATCACTTCGCACAATCAGATATGCCATGGAGAGTGCAAAGGATGCATGCAAGTGGGCCTATTGCAACGCGACACCTGGAGCTGTGCTTGGAGGTGCGTTGTACTTGAGAAACTTTTACTTCGTCACAAGCAGTGATTTTGCACATGCAATAATTTTGATTCCTTTTCCTGGACCCTTTAAAGAGATGCTAAGAAAGCATTCAAATCTTGTGTTTTGCCGCTTCCTCAAGCCATACCTTCCGAAGTGGTAAATTTTCCAGTTCGTTTGTTTTTCCCACATTAATGATTATGTTTTCACAACAATCCTCCAACAACCATCTCCACTCACCATTGTCTCCTTTGTTCTTCCTTGCCCATCCCATCTTGTCACCCAACCCCACCGCACCGCACTGTTGGCTTCTTCATCAAACTCCATAGATGAGTACTTCGATTCGCGCCTGCCCATAGTGGAGATGCGCATTGCCATGGGTGGGGTGCGCCTTGCTCGTATTCTCAACCACATCTTTGCTGCTCTTAGGCCTGAACAGTAAAAATGTAGTGATTGCAGCATATCTAAATATCTGTTAACTGTTAATCGTCTGTAGATTACACATTTAACAAAGGATTTGTGCTACAGAGTATATGACATGTGGTAACAAGTGGTGCATGAACAAACCTTAACTTGAAATATCTGCGGTTCATTGAGGCTTCTTGCGATCAAGTGTGTTTCATTGGGATTCAAAAAGTTTGAATACGGTGCTTGCAGAAACGAAATTGCCATTCAACCCCAATGGCTTGTCCAGCAGCAGCAGCAGCTTGATGTTATGAATGAACTTGCAGAGTGCGCAGTAAAACGAATATCGAGAATGATTGAGTACTGAATTACTGAATGACTGAATGACGATACAATGAGAAAGGTACGACTAAATAGGGGAAGTCCTAGCTAGGCGGAGAGGTTGGGCGAGGATGGCTCGGTGATGGTTGCGATTGGAGCGGAGGCCGACTCGGGAGTGGTTCGGTGCGACAAAATAGGAAGGACAGGTTCGTCGCTTGACCCTCGGGATTGTTGGAAACAATAAGTCCTAAGTGCGCTTCTGTCGTATCAAAATCCAAGGTACCAAGCGAAGCAGTCCCAATCGAAGCATCGAGTCAACCTCGGAGGTTAGGGTAACCGCCTGGAGGTTACGAGAAAGTCAAAGGTCGCTGACCTTTGACTCGACAATTACAGCGCGACAGTTAAGGACACACAACTGACTCGTTACAGAGCAGTTGCCCGAGTCGCGCTATATCGAACCGCAACAGCAATACAGTTATCTATCTATTCCCTGTACTCTTATATAAACCCTTGTATTTGCCTGTTTAATTCAATCAACTTTGCTCTCACACACCAGTGCAAGGTCGGTTCAAATTCTTCACTAAACGCTTCCGCTATTACAACTACTTCACCTAGAGTTATCCCTTGCAAAGATCCTAAGGGGCTATCTCAGCCCAACATGGTATGAGAGCAGACAAGGGAAATTCTACTCTTTTTCAATATCATTACAAGACATGGCAACAAACAAGGAAAGGAGCTCCCCTAATGGCTCCTCGGGCACTACTCCTACTCCACCGTCAGCCTCTGGCCTGCAGACAGAAGAAGGCACGGCAACAAGACCAAGAGGAACGTCAACCGAGACCCCCATGAACCACCCTTCGGACTTTGACCAGAACATGATGGAGAAATTTTTCTCCTTCATGTCCTTCTACGAACAACACCAGCAGTCGGGACCTGCACAAACACACAACAGCAACAACGGAGCGACACCCATGAGTCTTGATGGGTCGTCATATGCGCGAGGAAACCAGCAGCAGCAACCTACCTTTGCTCCGTACGAGCGCGGGTCAATCAGCTTCGTGCCCCACCCGCAACCTTCACCTGGACAAGAAAGACCACTGGACGCACTTCAAGTTCAGTCGCAGTTTGCACACGTCTTAAAACTGCAAACGTCAAGACCCTTCGACGGCAAAGACTTCTTTACCTGGTCCTTTGAATTCGAGCTGATGATGGAGGGCGCGCAGATACTCGGCTTCTTCGACGGGTCCCTGCAGTATCCAGCCAACGGGACACAATATGAAAAGCAGCAGTATACGTATCAATCAATGATGGCGTATACAATCCTATTGAGGAATGTGACACCAACTCAGCAGCAGAACATTCGCTCTTACCGGACCTTCGGCAACTCGGCGGAGCTCGCGTACAGCCATCTGAAGAACCTGTATCAAGCAACAGACAGTGTAAACCAGAGCAGGTTAATGGCGCAGTTGACGACAGTCGAAATGAAACCAGGAGAAAAAGGACTGGCGTATATCAGCCGATGTCGCGAACTGCGCGACAAGCTGCTTCGATGCGGAGGGTCAATCTCTGAAGACGCCTTCGTGACAGTCATCATTGGTGGGCTTGGTCCTCAGTGGCGCGCCACCAAAGCCATTCTTCGAGCCCACGGAAGAATCTCTGAAGCTGCACTCTGCGCCGAAATACATGCCGAGCAGCAAGATATGGACCTGCAGGAAGAACGACACAGGAAGAAAACGACAGTATCAGAGTTCGCATTCCACACTCAACGACGACACAGCAATTATAACAACCGACAGCAGCAACCGAAGATAGTACCTCCCTTCTGCCACATCTGCAAGACTTCAGGGCACCCGCGCACACACTGCCCGAATCGTCAGCAATCAACGGCACCACAGCGACAACTTCGACCTTCAAGCTCCCAAATGGCTTCAACACAAGCAAGTGCGACGACCACTATTCAAGCTTCAACGACTTCACCCGGACAACCTGCACAAGGAGCAAGAAATATAATCAACTGCATGACGAAGATAACCGATTCATGTACAACCGAATCACCACCACACTACTCACCGGAAGAAGAGCTTGACAACAGAACGCCTCGCCGTGAGCTACTCCAGCCGAATCCAACGTACGCCGCCATCGCTCAAAGTGAACCGTCCGGCCAAGACACCTGGTTCTTGGACAGTTGCTGCGGGCAACACATGTGCTCGTCCGGGCGTTTCGTACAACGCGAACATCGACTCCAACGGGAAGTGATCATCACGGTTGCCAACAACCAAAACCTGCGCACACGAAGACAAGGAGTGGTACAGCTTCAGTCAAGAGAAACAAATGTCATACTGCACATGTCTAAGGTACTCATCGTTGAAGGACTCGGCTACAACTTACTGAGCGTTAGCCAGTTGATGGCGAAAGGAATTCATCTGGAAGCCGACAGCACGACCCAGGAGTTCAAACTTTACCACGGGAGAGGCGGTCTCTACATCGGGAAAGCAGTGCTGAAGAACAACGTCTTCGTCCTCGACTTCGTTCCTGACCTAGGCACTGCAGACAGCGACGCCATCGTGAATTTCACTGACTGGACACACCCTCCGGATCTCGACCCCGACTTCAGCCCAGGAGGCTTCTGGTACTCGCACACCATTCCTGAAGCAGAACGAACACGAGCATTAGCAACAATTCGACAATCGGCAGCAGTAACAACATCGGCAGCAGCAACAACATCAGCAGCAGTAACAACATCGGCAGCAGCAACAACATCAGCAGCAGTAACAACATCGGCAGCAGCAACAACATCAGCAGCAGCAGGAACAACGACACCAGTCACAGTCGACGAAGCACCACCAACACCCGCGAAACAGCTGAATCCGACTCAACGTGAAGTCCACCGAAGCGCCAACCTCGTCGCCAGCTTTTACTCCAACTCCGACGCATATCAGCGTTCACCTGGACACCGTGCCTCTGAAGAGATCTGGCACGCACGAACAGGACATCCAAGCAACACGGTTTTGAATAACACGATAAGAGCAGGAGTCCTTGACAAAGATTCTCTACTTCTACCCGATGGCAGAGAACTCCAGAAGGCACGAGGGACTTGCCTTATATGTCCCGAAGCTGACTTACCTCATCGACCGTTTGCTTCACATCACAACCCGATCGCTCCAGCGTACGCACCACTCGAAAAAGTCTACAGCGACATCCTCTACAATCGCGAGCCAGGACAAGTCAACTACAACTACACCATCACCTTCATCGACGCCGCCACTCGATACGTCTGGCATCGCAACCTACCCAGCCGCGACATGGCGCTCGCAGCATTCGCCGCCTGGCTACCGATAGCAGAGAGAGAGTCTGGAACACAACTGAAAAAATTCCAGTCAGACGGAGGTGGCGAGTACACCTCTCACCGCTTCAAGCAGTTCTTGGCGGAAAGGGGGATCAAGCAACTCCTCTCCCTTCCTTACGCACATCAGCAGCAAGGTGTTGCAGAACGACTGAACAGGACCCTGCAGAACAGCATGCGCAAACTATTACGTGGCATGTGGCTACCCAACCACCAGTGGCCAGCAGCAATGGACCACGCTGTCATGCTACACAACTTGTTGTCGTCGTCGTCACTCCCGAACAATGCATCACCGCATCTGCTGTGGACAGGGAAGCAGGGCAGCACGAAAATGTTACGAGTTTTCGGGTGCATGGTACAGTACAGACCCCCAGAAGCACGAGCGGGAAGATTTTCGCAACGGGCACAGTGGGGACTACACCTCGGCATCGAGAAAAATTACAACGCATGGAAAATCTTCGACGTCCACACAAAGGAAACAGTAGCAGCACGTGACGTGATCTTCTACGAAAGACTCACCCTTCAGACGTACCTCGCCAACTTGCACGAGAATCGGGACCTCACCAGTGGTTTTCGTGGTGACCGAGCCTTCGCGTCAGCAGCGGACGAAGCAGACTGGGATGAACAGAACGTCGACAACGCCTCAGAAGAAGCCGGACCTCTCCCATACTGCTCCGTCGACGTGCCCATGGATGAGGATAATCCTCGCGACAGTAACAACGCCGAAATCTTCTACCGTTTCGCTGACGATGGTTACGTAACACCTGTGACAGTCAACACCAACGAAGCAGAAAGGGTAGGGCCAAATTTCATGCCCGACCCAGAAACGGGAGACGAAGCAGCTTATCCCGAGGATCCAGAACTCCCTCGATACTCACAGACTGGGCTGCAAATCCTCGGCCTCGTCACCGCAGTCCACGGGAACACACGCAGCTCGCTTCCTAAGGAGCCTGCAACGGTTCAGCAGGCTCTGGGGGGGGAACACAGGGAGAAATGGCGTGAAGCCATGGATAGAGAACTGAAGGCATTAGAGGAACGCAACACTTGGAAGGTTGTTCCCGTAAGCGTGGCACGGAACAAAACCATCCTTACCGGGAAATGGGTCTTCCGCATCAAGACGAAAGCAGACGGCACGATCGAAAAATTCAAAGCACGCTGGGTCGTACGTGGATTCGACCAAGAGCAAGGACGAGACTTCACCGAGACCTTTGCTCCAGTCAGCCGCCACACGTCACTCCGAATTCTCCTCGCCATTGCCGCCATGAAGAAGAAGAAGTTACGGCAGATCGACGTCACGAATGCCTTCCTCTACGCACCTGTGGATGCAGAAATCTACGTCGAGCTCCCGCACGGTTCCCACGGCGAACCCAACC